CTTGCAGATGACATGAATTATATACAACCCTCGAAGTCGCTTCATTGCGAGCTTCGCATTCCCTCTCAAAGGATCACTTAAGTTCGTGCCGGAGAGATGTTTATCTTTGCCGCTCCTCCTGTGTGACGCAATTATGGAGATCCGGGTATGTGAGCCCCTGTAAGTCAGGTATCTTGCCAGCAAAATAGTACGGTAATGGGCAAAGATCGCCTTGATAAGCACCTGCAGTCAGCTTCCCACTTGTCACACAATGCGACACGGCTCGTTATGGAACAACCCAGGAGTGCCAGCAATTACCGAGCACACTGTCCAATACGCGACGGTAGGCCAACAGTGTAGGGGTTATGCCGCAGCTCAATGCTCCTTTTATTATTGCCGTCAATGCAACATTATTCTTTTCACCATCGGATTTCCTGCTCCATCAGGATATTGCGAAGGGGCCCGATCCGCGCACTGATGCGATAATCTTCCCATTCTCTGGGATGCCTACCCCTATCGGAGTTGACTGCCCTACCAGCCCTACGGGTTGGATGACAGTCATCTACCAGGCTACCATGCTCTGGCCAGGGCAATTATCTTTTAAAGGCTTGCTCAGCCGGTTTGCCGAGGAGAGCCGCTTCTGAGCAATATCGAGCTTGTTGGGCCCTAATTCCGACTTTCAAAGCTTTGATTTGAGGGTATCGATGACACCTGACCATGTCCGATTTCGATAGCCGTCAGAATGTCACTGTCGATGGCTTCAGCGGCAAGAATCAAGACACAATCGGCTGGGTTTTCGGACCCGATACTCGAGGCACCATAGACATCATTTACAGTTGCATCGTCGTCCTCATTACAGCCATTTGGACAGTGATTCATCTCAATCTACCCGCCAAAGGTGATTCTGGATGGCGGATCGTGCTGCGGAGAATCCGATGGGGTTGTGTCTCGATCTTCGCCCCGGACTTTTTGACACTTGTGGCTGCGGCACAATGGGATTCTGCACAGAAGTCCGTTGCCCAGATGCGTCTCCTACCAGAGCTTCGCGATAACGAAGACAAGTGGTGTTTGGAACATGCATTTTACGCGAATAGCGGAGGTGAGTTGGTAGTGCTTCTTCGGTTCACTAGTCACTGACATCTCCTTTCTAGGCTTCATTCTCCAATGCCCTGATGCAAGGCCATTGCCGGTCAACGCTGCTTCTATGCACTACCTAGTGAGCAAAGGTTATATCAGACTGCCTAATATAACACGAGATGAGGTTTGGGACAAGTCTAAGGCCGATGTCTTCGCTAAGGGTCTCGCTATTCTCCAAGGCGCGTGGATCATTATAGGGTCTATCGCCCGTGCTGCGCAGCATCTGCCAATGAGCCCCCTTGAACTGTTCACATTGGCGTTTGTTGTGTCCACGATCATGTCTTATTTCTTCTGGTGGAGGAAGCCGCAGAATGTTAGCACACCGACAATCCTACTATGCAAGCACGCAGTCGGCAAAATACGTACCGATGCCGGGGTTCTACACGGTGCCTTCGATCGAACGCCTATGGACTTCGTCGAAAAGCCATTACAGACATGGCAGAGACGTGGCCTATTCGCGGCGTTTGATCTCGAATCTAGATATCCCTTGGACGGCGAGCCCAATGCTGGGAGTAGCGCCTTTGATGTGACGGCCGGTCATATTGAATTGAACGAGTTCAGCTTTGACCGAAAGCCGAGTGAAAGTGATATCAGCTTAGACGGCCAGCTCAGCCCTAGGAAGCAATCGCTTCAACCAGTCTTGGAGGCCACTGACTCGTTCATCGAATTAACTTTAGGAAGCAGAAAAGATAGCGAAATTACTCTTGTTGGCCAGCGGCTCAATGATTTACCTTCGCCATCAAAATCATGGCCAACAAAATTTCCATCGTTGAGAGAGAAGCGCCTGAATATGGTGGATGAAAAGGCAGGATTCGCCCTTACACAAACGCCAGCAGCACGAATCCCAGATGATGCCATAATGCCCACGCGCTTACCGATTAAAGTGTTAGGGAGTCTAATGCTCCCCTCCATGATACACTCTTGTATCCATCTGTTAGGGTGGAATCTAGATTACCCAACAAATATTGAGAAACAGTTATGGAGAGTCTCAGCTGTCACACTTTCGGCTATGTCATGCATAGCTGTAGGTGCCGTACGTGTGCTTGCCATCACCGGATACAAAGGACGGTACAACCTAGTTTGGTTCTGGGTCAATTCAAATTTCGAGCCAAAAGCTTCGAAGCAAGCCAGCAACCTAGGGGAGGAGACCTCGAATACCGGGTCTCGTATCGCGAGGGCTAAACACGCAATGGCAGCGGGCGAAGGCTGGAAAGAACTAACATTTTGGGATTGTTGTCTTGGACTTGCTACCTTATCGCTGGTCATAGCAAGATGTTTCATCATCGTGGAAGTCATCATTAGCTTTAGGTCATTGCCACGAGATGTGTTTGTCACAGTGAACTGGACAAACTTCATTCCACACATGTAAACCATAGACTAGGAGCAAACCGCTATACTATAGATGTCTAGTTGAAGATGAAGCGTTGCCTAGATTTTGATAGATACAACAGAGTTTCTGGGTCTCAGATTCAGACTCTGAAGAAAGGGGCTCGTCCTATACAAGAAAAGAACGGGATAGATGGACGCCCTGGCACACCTCAGATGACCAAAAACCCGTCGGATTAAAGAATAGACCTTCCTCTTAGCTTTCATGAAGACTAAAATCGTGATCAGAAGACATATTATCTGCGCGATGGAAAAATAGAGCGATATCTCCGGCGGTGTCTGTGGAGGATGCTGGGGAAGATGCGGGGAAAGGTGGAGAGGTCAGGAGTGGACAGGCAGTGTCAGGCTTGATAGCCCAGGTGTCAGTCGCTAATGCGAACCTAGTAATAGAAATGAGGAGCATCATTGCCACGAAAAGCCGAATTCTAGTAAGAGGCAGATTAAGCGGCCGCACTAACATGAGATTTTACCCCGAATAACGAACCTAAGAGTGATCGCCCTGGCTGCCAAGATCATCTACACGGAACATTGTCGACTCAGAAGCTCTCCTGTGTTTCAATGGCATCTATATATGGATTTGTGCTGTATTTTACGTTGTGCTTGTAACATAGTAACATGCGCTCTTGAATATGCTTCCCTGTCTATTGTGAATGCTTTTACCTCGCCAGCCAGTCCTAAGAGCGTATCCTGGGTCAAGCTGAAGAATGCGCGCGTTGGAAGTACTGAGCATCCTTGCTCTTTTAATTCTCTGTCAAACCGCCTATGCATGTGAGACAGATGATGACTGCAGTCTCAACGGCGTTTGTGTACGTAAATGCAGCGACAAAGTCCAAGTGTGCAAATGTGACCCAGGCTGGTGGGGTGAGGATTGCGGTAGGCTTGACCTAGCACCCGCAACAAGATGGAGTGGATATAATTACACCAACTTCACCCTGCCAGACTATTACAAGGGTTACGGAAATTCATCCTGGTGTGGGAATATAATTCAAGACCGAGAGGACAAGAAATTGTTCCATCTCATCGGCTCACAGTTCGGCCACGGCTGTGGCCTTGGAGGCTGGCGGCCGCATTCCTTTGTATTCCGGGCTGAATCGAGAACCGGACCTCAGGGCCCTTACCACTGGGCGCAAAACATTTCTAGCACATTCAGGCATAACCCGTACCCATTTTGGAGTGAAGCGGACCAGAAGTACTTGATGTACACTATAGGAGTTGATGCGGAAGAGCCTGCGGATTGCAAATCAATTTCGAAGTGAGTCAACCACTGGCCAGGATCAGTACCAGGCAATCTGGTAGGAAAGCAGGGATCTTCGTTTACCATGGTTGACATAATGACTGCTAGGGACTCATGGCCGAACAATATCTCCGTATCTGCAGCGCCTGACATTCGTGGTCCGTGGACGCCATGGAAAGTGCTTGTCAACGGGACCAACCCGGCACCTTGGCCTGCTTGGTCGCCACGAGATCCGACCTCCAAAATCATCCTAGGCATCGAGGATTTCAACATATTCGCTGCTGATCAGTGGGATGGACAATATGAGCTGATCAATACTGCATCTTGGAATACGTCAGATTATAGCCCAACATGGACGGAAGATCCTTTCTTATGGCGAGATAAACGGGGACACTGGCATGCACTAGCTCACTGGATGATTGATATCGTGGAGAAGAGCGGACAGAAGTACCCTCGGGTAGGAGCACATCTCTTCTCTCGCGAATTGACTGGAAAGTGGACTTTCAAGCTTCAAGAGGCATTCAACTCAACAGTCAACTTCACCGATGGGACGATACAGACTCTCAATCGCCGAGAAAGACCAAAAATATACTTTAGTGACGATGGAGAAATGACTCCACTGTATCTTATCAATGGTGTACAGGATATTGGTAGCTCCGCCAGTTATACATTGATACAGCCCATTGGGACTGCATGGAAGGATTATGAAAAGGGTTTAGGCTTCTGACGGGAGGATACTCGGAACAATGCCAAAACGGTTGACGAAGCATTGCAATTCGCGTCAACTGCAAATATCTTCCTATACGTTGGCGGGTAGAAACATATGTGATATCAATTCGACGTGACTCGAGATGTGATCGAAGTGTGGTACTTGACATATCCTGCCCCTTGACAGCCAGTGATAATGATACGCAGTCATGACAGTCATGCTTATGGTCTACTCCTCCGCCAGGGTAATAAATGTTGGTTACACAAGGGTAGCATTGCCTCCTCAACAAGAGATTGGTATTCTGGTAGAGGGTGATAGACCTATAGTAATAAACAAGACCTTCAATATCTCGACGAGTATTATGACTGTTAACATTGAGTAGCTTCACCCTTCAAGAAACGACATTTATTGCCCTGGAGGAGGAGCTAGATCTCCCAGTACGATTAACAATAATTCGATAGGTTTGGTATTCATTTCCAATGCTCCCTACTTTACGCAGCCTTTTCATTTGTATAGTTTCAGTTTTAGATCAACTAATGAACGCGATACCCATTTTCACTCTTCAACCAAGTTGTTCTTGTCACTGTAATTATTTCGTTAGCAATCATCAACAGCGCACTGTGGCGGAAGTCAACATACGGAAGTTTGTGATTGGGCAAGAACCATGATAGGAATAGAGCAGGAATCGAAGAACCAAGAGCAGCGTATGTCATGTACCGCATGACATCCGTGAACTATTAACATGACACATCAGATCCATAGGCCACATCTCAAGATGGAGTTTGGCAGGTTACTTACCGCATGGCTCACTGCGACACGTTCAGGGGTACCCCATTCGGGAACCATTCCTGTGATAGAATCGAATAAAGAGTTGACCAACTCAGGTGAAGCATTGTCGCCGAGATGATGCCACAGGGCAGGTTTGAATGTGTTTGTATAAATGCCTCCGGCAATACAGGCACCAACACTGCCACCAACGAAGGAGACGCAGATGACGAATGCGGTGATTTGGGCCATCTGGGCATGAGGAACGCTGATTTGCGCTGGCACCAGGACCGTCGTTAGCATGATACCACTTCCAATACCCTGGATGGCCTGCACGGCAAACAGCTCGCCCATTGAATTATCAGCGCCACGTAGACGAAGCATGATGCCGTAGCCGATTGTGCGCACAACCGCGCCGGTGATCATCAGATACTTGTAGCGCCGCGTCCACACCATGAACAAACCCGCGATAATGCCAATGAAGCATTGTACTGCACCGTTTGTGTACACGTAAAATGTTGCGTCTCGAACGGCGAAGTTGTGCGAGATGTTGACCCAGCTGTAGATGTACGTGTGCGTGCAGCTGAAGCCAACACTATCAAGCGCGATGTTGACCAGGCAGATGACAATGGTCAAGTTCTTGAAATAGTGCACGGGCACGATGGGGTTTACGGCAACTTTTGCTTCGTAGAATGGCAGCAGAATAAGCAGAATGCCGCCAATGGCAATGAGCGCGTCAATGTAAGGCGTGCGCCAATTTGACGGGGACGTAGCTGCGAGTGTCATCGGCAACAGCAACAGAGCCAAACCGCCGCTCAGCAAGATCACGCCACCAAGGTCGATCTGGCTGCAGAAATCGTAGAGAGTGATTCTAGCACGCGGAGCAATTGCCATCTTCTTGGCACGTCCTTGGTAGTAAATCAAGGTGGTGATGATGAAGCTTGCACAGAACGGCATGAGAATGGCCAGCATGCCAATGCCCCATCGCCAACCAATGCCGTCTTCTGCAACAACGCTACCAACAATGTATGCAGAGCACCAGACAGTGACGAGGAATGGAGCAAAGGAGACACCGATTGCAAAACCTCTCCATCGGGCAGTTGTTATATCAGAGATTATAATGTCGTTCATGATGTTGGTTCCGGACTGGCCAATAGAGTAGAACACGCCGCCAGCTGCATACGTGTTGAACGACTTGGCGGAAGCCATCAGAATGTACGCCAAAATGTAGAACGAGATTGTCATGATATAGGTCTGACCTCGGCCAATAACGTTTGACAACTTGGCGATTGGCGGCTTGACTATGGCAAAGATAATGGTCGAGGCCGTGCTGAGAGTTGACAATTTTGATAGAGCGTTGAACGACGAAGTTGAGTAGTTGTTGTAAATGTACACGGTTGAGTTGTCAATTTCGCTGAACCTTCTGTTAGATTCCTGTTTCTTCGCCTAGAATGACTGAGCTCACTAGATGATCATAATCAAGGCCAGACTACAGATGTCTCATTATCAGCTTATTGAACTTGTTAACACGGCGAATTGATGCGTCATACCCGACAATCACGAACCATCTTCCCCTCTTACCCCAGATCGCCTGTGCGGCTTCGATAGTTGCAACACCGGTGTCGACTTTGTTCTCCTCCTGCATCATCTGCTTCTCGTCCCGGGGCTCATCGGCGGCAATTTCGGGGTCCGCCGGCCGCTGCTCGTCAGCCGTGGACGGCGGTTCCTCCATCCCATCTACCGGCGACGGCCGGAACTGCCGCTTGACAGAATCAGCGAAACCCATGGCAACTGATGAGATCCGGTTATCCTCGTACTTCAGTGACAGTGCACCTCACTGAGGCCCCGAGGAAGCGGACGAGGCATGCGGGCTATGCACAGTATTAATGTTAACGAACGGTGATGTGCGGTGCAACGTAGGGACGATCCATCGTTGCACTGATAAATGGGAGTCGCATGATTGGCTAGCGAGAGCACCTTCCTGGTCTTGTCATCCTCGACGGTGAAGAAGCTCGAGTCTAGACTAAACTACGAGTACGATAGCCTACACCCCCGACCGCAAAGATGTTCGGGTGCTTCTAGCCGATGACTTTATCACTACGACCGCTGAAGTTTCACTGCTTTGCGGGGTCGATGCCAGGGTGCTAGTGCAGATAGCGAAGATAGCCAGATAGCTACGAGTGGCTGGAGATTTGTGGTATTCACGACTCGACGTTTCTGCTATCTGCCCCGCAAACGGCCCGGGCTCTGTTTCTAGAACAAAGGCGCTGAAAATGCCAAAGACTATATCTTATTTAGGTCTAATATCAGCGCTTAAATGTTTGACATCGGGCGTGCTAGGCTTTAAAGGCGCTGCCGAAAGCTTCGTCTTACTATAAGAAGCGTTGACCGAAATACCGTGCATGCCCTGGCATGATAACCAATGTACTAAAGCTTAAGTTGAATCCTTCTCACGGGTTGCCGGTGCCCTAATGCGCTGTGATGAGCGGGGTTTGTGATTCCAAGGAGAGGATCTCCGCGGCTCGAATGCATGTGTCGCTTGCGCCCACGCCGCAGCGCGATACATTTCAAGACTATAGTGACTCCAGGGCTCCCAGGAGCCTCATTCCGTGCAAAGAACAGCCCCAGAAGCGGGACTTTAGTTGATACTAAGTAATTGAAGCAGTGTTTCCCCGCATGCGTAGACGGCACGCATGCTGTCAGCATGCCCAAACGCCTATCGCATCGTGCTAGTAGAGTGGCCACCTGCTCAACGCCGAGCCCGCTTTTCGAGAGAGTTCCCGGGTAGCGAAGGCTATTTCGATATCTTCGCCTCCATACATGATCGTTGGTTGTAGTCCAAATGGCGCGGTATCCGGCTGGCAGATGGTGTCTGGTGCTGGGACCGTTCCGTTCTGGAAATACGCCCTGACCTGCTTGGCAGTGCAGACTGACGGCGCTGACAGTGAAGTATGCTAAGATATGGAAGTTAGCCTTTGTACAGAGCACCCCTGATGAGCAGTGGTTGACGACGTACACCGTAAGAGTTCTGAATGAGAACAACAGAGCCAGGAAAGCCAGCCGAGTTGTTTCGGGCGCTGATCAGCGGCGTAACATTGTCGGCGTGGTTGGCGATGAACATGATGGGGAAGCTGGTGTTTGCTTCGAATGGCCCTGTGAGTTCCTCGTGTTAGTAGCCGGTCTGGTATATCAAGCCAAGACGGGCTGATGCTGACCTGAAAATCTGTATACGGGTCGGACAGTTCTGCCGGCGCATGAGATGCGGAACAGAACATTGACAGCACCCGCAGACGTGCTGAGTTCTTGAACCTTTTTTGCATACTCCTCGAACTGTGTGACGTTGTCCGTGAATGGCTCTCCATCAGAACATAACACACCCGGGAAGGCATCATCGGTGCCTTCAGCCCCGCTCGTCAGTGGAACCGATGGCGGGACAGTCTCAGCCAAGCAGAGCGAGTCAATCGGTGCCCGGCCACCTGCAACAAATTTGTAGTATGGTTGCGCATCTCCCTTTTCCAGAGCAGCGAGGATCTCAGCGTATGGCTTGAAGAAGTAGTTGGGACGATACAAAGTCGTCGATGTAAGGCGCTTGATCTTGGAGTAGGTTACAAGCTCCGGAACTTCCGGACCGCTCTCACCTGCCGGGAGGAGAACAGGGTTGACCCTCAGACTGTCCAGCAGCTTCCAGTGCCGGTCCTCGATTGCCTTGGGAGATGATTGGTAGAAGGCGCAGTTAAGTGGACCGGCTTCGTGGCACGTCTCGTAAAAGTACTTCATAACTTTGTCGGTGTCGCGGATGAAGTTGATATGCTCGCCCAGGTACCACTCGCGGTAGTCGACATTCCCATCGCTAACAAGACGGCCAACTCGGTCGGGGAACATGGCGGCAAAAGTTCCGCCAAGCACAGTGCCGTAACTGAAGCCCCAGTAGAGCAGTTTGTCTTGGCCGAGCTGGTTGAGAATCTCCAGCATGTCCCGTGCATGCGATGCTGTGCTAGAGTGCTCTAGAATGGCGGTATCCCTCAATGTTGTTTGGCAGTTCACAGAGTACGCAATAGAGCGAGCGAACGCGTCGTAGAGCACACCTGGGTGGGCATCAATAACTGGAACCTCCTGGTTGTCCCAGAACTGCTTCTTCTGCGGTGAGTCCCAGCACTCGATTCTCGGAACTGAAGCGCCAACTATCCTATCGTTAATAAATCATGTTACAAAGACGACTGGTGAGAAGCTCAAGCATACTTCCACGTGGATCAAATGAAATGATGTCCTGAATCTGTTAGAAACGATGATCATTATTGTATCCAAGATGCACTTACATGGTTCTTTCCGACGACTGTCTGAAGATGCTCGCCGTGATCTTTCAATGCCCATACTCCCGAACCACCAGGGCCCTATTTTGAAGTGAGCATGCGCACGAATCGGCAGGTTCTCGATCAAATGAGTAGACGTACACCAGGATTGAATATCATGGCGCCGCGGTAGTCGGCTGTCTCAGTGGCCCGCAGTCTGATAACAGCAATGATGGCTCGCTGAGCATCCGAGGGTTCCAGCCAGTTGAGCGGCACCTAATCATCGATGTCAACACACGAACCAATTCAATGTGAGACTGTATGCCCTACGTCTAAGCGAGCGCAGTCATACTGCTTATCGAAACACTTGTGCCAGTCCAATGTTCTGCTTGGTTCAATCTGCGCTCAGCCATTAGCGAGCTGTTTAGCACCCAACAGTCCCGAATCGTCACCACTTACCTCGGACCACGAGAAGCTCCTCTCTACTGCTTCCGGGTGGGAAAGAGGTGCATGGGAGCAAGTGAACCTCTTGAATCCATGGTGCAAGGCGGCCAGCGATAGAAGAGCGAAGGCTACAAATGAGGCAGGCTTCCAGTGGCGCCCTCGCCTTGCGGTCGGGGCCGGTGGCGCAAAGTGAGGTAGTTTCTCGCTCATCGCGACGGCGCAGTGTAATTGGAACGGGGTCACGGGCTGCCGTATTCAATTGAGCCGGTGTCGAGAGCGCCCTCGCTGGCTCGAGGTTGACGCGAGGGCAATGAATGAATTAATGTAGGGTTCTAAGGGAGTGAAGTGGCGTGTCGCTAAGACATGTGCATGCTGATGGAAAAGATAACATTACACAGCCCATCCATCGCCACGCTGAATCATTTAGTGGCTCAGTAGGCTGCCTGCCGGGGTTGAAGCCGGGGTTGCCAAGAGCCTTAGGGGTCCAGAGGGCCATTCAAGTGTCTTCTAGTGAAGAGATCACCCTTGACAGCCGTCTAGCGCTTATCAGTTTAAGCTATCAGTACACGAGGTGTTTCAGCAGCGCTATCTAGGGCTACAATGGCGTCTTACCCGTTGAGCATAAATCTCTGCCGAGTTGGTCTTAAGCTCATATGAATTATGTAGGAACCGTTGCTCGACGAATACTTAAGGCAAATCAATCCTCTTGCCGAATCAGGACCTAGCAGGCGGTTTCTTTGACTGACTGACAAATGAGACATCACCGCGAATATAAATCAATGTGCTAATTTCAGTGGACAACATTCACCACAAGAAAACATGTCCGACCAGTCATTCAACTCTTCCCGCTTCTCGAAAGTGGTATTTTCTGTACGATTTCAAACTGACATGAGAAGACACTCAAGAATACTGGGAGCATAATCTTGATACGAAGTCACGATTTTCTCACTTTATTGAAGTGGCATTTCCTGTGTCCGAGATTGGTTGTATCAATTGGCTATCAATCCTCCTCTGGCTCTTAGTCCACTACTGCTAGGGCCAATTCCCATTTACTCACGCCAATTTCTCACATTCCTTGGAAAGGACGAGTGCTTCCGTGTTGGTCGGAGACTCTATGGCTTTTCAACTTGCACAAATGACTCCTTCGACGATGAGCCGTCGCCACTAGACCCTTCAACAAACACGCGACTGTTTTTCCTATGCAATCGCAAGTTGAATTCATTGTCTGTGTCCGAGTCGTCGTTGTGCTGGTTGGGACGATGATGCATTTCCTTGTCAATCGCAAGAACGGCACCCGTTACTGGGTTGACCTGTGCAAGTCGCCACGGCCCGGGGATGGGATAAGATGAAAGCGCTTTATGCTTGCCGTCAAAGTATCTTGGCATGGCGTTCTGCATCTTGACAAGCTTGTCGTCAAAGAACGCTCGAGTGTTAATGGAGCAAGACTTAAGCAGCTCACTCTCAGCGTATTCCGCCAGTTGTGTCACTCGCTCCAGGCTCGGAGCCACGCCATTCCCATTTGTTTGTGAGCCAGTCACAAAGGCGTCCAATTCTTCAAACACAGCTCGTAATGGTCCAGATTTGGAAATGACCTTTCGTATGTCCCCAAAGACGTCAATCTTTCCGTTGATCACACGATAAAGCAGAGCCTTGGCATGGGCTGATACATGAGAAACATCTCGCTGTCGGTAATTATCAAGGGAAAGATAATCTGTATCAACTTCCGTGGACAGACCAGATTTACCGAAGTCGCCCACATGAAAATCTGGCAGCGGTGAGCCGGCTTGCCAATGCAAAAAGATATTGGACATGTTGAGATCGCGGTGGAAGACTGATACTGGTCCAGACTGGAAAAGCCATAAAGTGTGGCACACCTGTCCAATAAATCGAGCGATTATTGGAAGGGGAATTTCGATCCTTTCACTCATCCATGATTGTTTGAAACGACTGAGGTCGCCGCCGTTGTAGTAGCGCCAGTACGATACTCGAGACCACTTCTGGTTGGTTTTGCTATTTCCAGTCAGCATGGGTTCATCTTGATGGCTGAGCAATTGTGCGTATCGAGGATAGTTCCCGTACGGCACTAGGAGTGTCTTGAGAAATTGGGTGATCCTGATTTCATTGTCAGTATCTCGGACTTGACGAGCGTCAAGCCGATGGAGACGTACCTTTCTCACCTGCAATTGGTTCGTCTCGAGCTGTCGTACACATTGTGCATGACTCTCTGCGCCTTCGCCTAGGTGCTTGACGAAAAGATACGGGCCATTTGCGCTTTCGAACAAGTGCACATACCATTTTCGTTCCCGACGAGCGGTTTGAACTACAGCCATCATTGCTCTTCGCCTGGAATTGAGAAAATGGCTTAGTATTGGGTCTCTTGTTTTCAGTCGTGAGATGGTGACATCGTCTTGGCTTGCTCAAAGCGTTTTTCACGCGTAGATGGCTACTTTGTATTTATAACAGGAAATGAGACTCGTCTATTCATTGAACAATGCGCAATGGGCTAATTCAATGACGGGAACAACATGAGAAACAAAGAAGGATCTAATAAGCCCGCATTTTGTAATGTTCTTCGACAACGACAGCGTCAAAGAACAATGCCATTGTGAAATTGAAGTTCCTAGCGACGGTGCGGACCGCTTGCAATTCATGAAGAGTCACATTTCCATCCGAATCATTCTCTTTCAACCATTATGACATCACACAAGTACAGCGACCCTAAATATAGGATGTTCGTTAAAATTGAAGCTACTTGAGACAGCACGAGCCTCTAGGGATATAGATCATTTTGCCTTTGACCATATCTAATTTCACCAGCTTCGATAAAACAAAAGAAAAAGCCCTCGGATATTAATAGCTACACCTAATTGAGTCCCTTACTGTAGTAGTGGTATGCAATCTGTCGGATAACTGACTCCTAATTCTACAAAGACATCACAACAGTCCACTCGCCATCCTTGTGGACCACCTCTTAACGTTCCGTGTAGATATATCGGCGAGCCCCGCGGTCTCAACACCTTCCGAATCTGGTTGGCTTGTGCTGTCGGCTGTCTGACACCCGCATCGGCATTCGGTCGGCCGTCTTATCACGGCCGGCTACCGTCGCCGCCACGAAGATGAATTGAAGAACCTTCCAGTTGCTTACGCTGTTAAAACGCCTAGGCTTATGAACACAATGACTTAGTACATTCTGACAATAGAAAACTCGGCATGGATAAATGGCCAGAGCCATATCCTTGGTCGAATTGGTAACGAAGTAACTTCGCACCTGGGTCTAAAATCCCAGTAATCGAGCTGTTCTACAATTCTTGACCACTAGTAATCATGAAGATTGAGAGGAACTGCAACAAACTTCTTGCGGCCTGTGGCGCTTATGGGTTTTGTCAACGCATCGTGTATGATTCGACAAACTTACCGCGGTCAGATAAGAGTTATGCAGCAAGCTAAAGTTTATCACCGATTGAAAGCCATTTTTGAAACTGACAGCCCTTATCGTTGTATTTCCGTCTTACCCCACAATCGGTACTCAGGTCTTTCGGATACGACCGTTCTGCCGGGTATGCGGCTGGTTATCTGTGACTCCTCAACCATCTCGATCGACATCAACCGGTGGATACATCTCCCCAACAACATACAAACCCAGCTGATGACAAACCAGCCTAGCCGTCATTGATCTCTGCCGGCTTCGGACCATGGAGTAAAAACACTTTGCTCCGCGCGGAGAGCTCACGGTCGTACTGTTCCGTACTGATATCAAGTCGGAAAAAATAATTAAAGTACACCATCGTCTCACACGAACAACAGTGGCCTTCTTTGGCTCAATCAGAAACACATTGGACTATCATGATGTTTTCCGGCACGCGATCGGCTATCCTCGTAGCTGCATGCTGTTGGTTTATCACCGTTTCGAAGGGCACTGCCATCGAAGAAAGACAAGCTTATGCGTTGGCAGGAGTGGGATTTGATGAACCATCTCAGAAACTTGGCAATCTCTATAACTATTGGCTCAAATACCCTAATGGAACCTTTGACCTGACACGCAGCGATGCGATGCCGGTGACCACGCCGAAGATCTTGCCATTCTTTGGCAAACGGATAGAAGCTATCATCGAACCCAGTCGCAGTGTACTCTGCATCGTGGACATGCAAAACTTCTTTCTTCACCCCGAGCTGTCTCCTAAAGCCACGAAGGGCCGTGCAGCTGTTGAGCCAACAGTCAACATGATCAATGCTTTTCGCAAGCATGGAATGAAAGTGACCTGGGTCAACTGGGGCCTTACAAACTATGATCTGCTCACCATCCCGCCAGCTTTCAAGTCAGGCTTCTCTGGCGGCTCGGATCTGGCCAATGAGACTTTTGGCTCTGACATGGGTACTATTCAAGAAAATGGAACTACTATCGAGGTGGGCCAGAAGCTCATGCGTGGAGCTTGGAATGCTGAACCTTGGGGTGTTTTAGGGACTATGAAGGACGAAGGCCTCGCTGCTGGTACAGACTTCCTCTTCCACAAGAATCGCCTCAGTGGTCTTTGGGGACCTCAGACTCCGTATGGGCAGTGGTTACAAGAGAACGAGATTACGACAATCTTCTTCGGCGGCGTTAACGCTGACCAATGTGTCTGGAGCACTTTTATTGACGCATACTTCAAAGGCAAAGCTCCCAGTCCCGTATCTCATCTTGAAGAGACCAGTCTAATAATACTTGCATATCTAGGCTATGATGTCGTCTATGTCGATGATATCAGTGCGACGACTAGTCCAGAATATGCTAGTGACATGGTCCGTTACAATGCTAACGGGGACGGTAAGTGGTTTTTATGTTTCGGCAGACACCTTACTCACCATCATGATTAGGGTTCTTAGGGAATAGCACTTCGATCATTGCTGCATTAGACTCGTCCGCTTGCAAGACGAACTCTACATAGCTTCATGAGGTAGTGGTTTCGCATAACACCATAGCTTATGCCTATGGATCCGGTGATATTTCTTGAGAATAGCCTGCGGCAACCATTCCCCAGGTGTCGAGCATCACATCACGACACTGAATGACCTCTGTTGTTCTTCAGTGGAGAAGACGTGGTGTTGATGTTCCTTCTTAAATTCGATATGAGAAAGTTGGCAACTTTCAATTGGAGTTTGTCAAAGGACATTTCAAAGACGAGATAAGCGTTATCTTGTCCAACGGAACAATTGGACAATTAAAGTGGCACACGAAACTTAAGCGTGTCTTGGTGATCTTGGAACTCTCGGCGTTGTGGGCCTTGATAACGACAAATTGGCACGTTGTTTGGATGACGTTGCCCTGAGCCTCAGCTCACCCCTTGGCATGAAGTAGTGGCCGCCTTGGCGTGGAGGCCGTCCCAAGATAACTCGCGTCCTATGGCCGAATCAGGGGAAGTCATCATTAACAGTCATGACCTGACGACGTCAACTTGGTTACATTCGCTGCTATCCACATTTGGACATGTTTTCCAGCTACTTTGACCCATCACCTTACACGAGGTCTGCAATGTGAGGAAATAATTAGACATCGTACCTGCTTATCAGGCACGCACATGTGAGGCGCTTGGCTCTCCAATAGAGTTTGTTGTCATTGAATGATCAAGGTCTACTGTTGTACTGCCTCGGGCCTTGTCTGCGGTATCTCTTGGCTGCATGCGCCATCATACTGGAGCACTAGATAATACGTGAACCACCCGCGAACCCTCCCTTTTTCAATCCTTTCCTCGCGTCGATTGCAAGTCATTTTGCCATACGCGAGAGTTCTCTTTATTGCTAAAGCATCGCGCGTCTCGTCCTTCCGTGTCATTGCCATGGCTGATTCGGAGATCACACCGGTGACCGAATGGCCCGACTGGAATGTCTACCCTGATGGTGGCGATCCTCTAACCCAGGATCTCAATGCGCCATATGACAAGGTAATTACGAGCGCTATGATACCGCGGGAAAGATTCTGACGGATAATTCCAGGGCGACTTATGTTGGCTTCTTGTCTGCACGGTTCTGTGTTGGCAGATCACCCCAGCCATAGGCTTCCTTTACGCTGGTATGCACAGACGTAAGGCTGCCTTGACAATGATCTTCCAGTCACTTTTCTGTGCCTGCGCTTGTGGCATTCAGTTCTGGGTCTACGGTTACTCGCTGTATCAATCGCGTACCACCAATCCGATATTTGGAAATCTTTCTCTGGCAGGCCTCCACAATGTGCTAGCTCAACCATCACTAGCGAATAGTGATATTCCCGATATTCTCTGTAAGAAGGACAATTCTCATCCCGTTTGCAATTACCTAATCGTACTATGACTGTAGACGCTGCATTCGGCTTTACGTTTGTCACAGCAACTGCGATGATTCTAGCCGGAGCCATGCTTGAGCGCGGCAGATTATGGCCAAGTATGCTTTTCTTGTTATGCTGGACGACCTTTGTTTACTACATGTGAGCGCAAATCTTGATAACTGGTACTGATACAATTCTCTGACATGGAAATAGCCTGGCCTACTGGGAGTGGAATCCCAGCGGGTGGCTATACAATCTTGGACTGTACGATTTTGCTGGCTCTGGTCCGGTCCACATCGCCAGTGGATTCAGCGCCTTAGCTTGGTCTATGATGCTGGGACCGCGTATTGCCGATACCACTGCCACAGAAAGGAAGAAGCTTGTACACTTCAAGCCACACAATCCTTTTCTCATGTGCCTTGGAACTGTTCTCATTTGGTTCGGATGGTTTGCCTTCAATGGTGAGCAGCCCCTCTCCGAAATTCAACTCGCAATTTCTGACAGCTTGTGTCTCATGTAGGTGCAAGTACGGCCAACCTAAGTCTTCGATCCATATATGTCGTCGTCAATACGAATCTAGCTGCATGTGGAGGCGGAATCTCTTGGGTTTTGATCGAATACATCTACAGCCGAAAGTTCAGCCTTCTAGGCTTTTGTTCTGGCATTATATCTGGCTTGGTCGGCATCACCCCTGCAGCAGGATATGGTAAGAATCAATTTGCAGCTTAACGTCACATAGTAGCTCTAACTTCGAGAATAGTTCCTGTTTATGTGGCTGCCCTAGTTGGCTTTTTGACATCTATCGCTTGTTTCTACACAAACAGTAAGCAAATCAATTCTTGCAGAGCGGTTATGTTGACAATTAACTTGTTTCAGAGTACAAGTATGTTCTTTCTATCGATGAGGGTCTCGACATCTTTGCGATTCATGGCGTGGGCGGTTATGTTGGTGACTTGCTGACGGGCCTGTTCGCGGCGAACTTTGTGCCTGCTCTTGACGGTGTATCCGGCTCTTCTTATGCCGGTGGCTGGTGGAATCGAAACTTCCGTCAGCTTGGACTTCAGTTGGCTGGTGCAACTACATGTGCTGTCTGGTCATTCGTTGTGTCTTGCATACTCCTTTTCATCATCAACAAGATCCCCGGTCTGCACATTCGTGAGAGCGAGGAAGATGAGCTGCGCGGGCTCGACCATAAATACCTCCACGATGTCGATTGGGATGACCATTACACGAATGGCTGGACGACACCTTATCCACAAACAAATGATGGTGTCCCCGTCGTCTCTGGGCTCTCCGTGAACAGGCACCCAGAGCCAGAGCCTATGGTCACATCACCAGCGAAGCAAGACTAAATTGGAACCTAACCTGCCCCGACAATGATGGACGCTACATAGATAATCGTATAGAAATATATAATTATAGAAATTTACAGGTTTATGGGCAGATACGATTTTATGACATTGTCATTCATTCTATCAAGCTTGATCTTGAAGTTCCAAGCTATCGACTGTCTTCATATACCCAATCGGATTCTGCCAAGTCCCCTTTCATGCTGAAAATTACCTTCATCCAACCGCGCTCTTTCTCGGGAGTCCAGTCTGGTGAAAAAGAAGACTGCCATTCCTTGAAGACTTCCTTTGCAAAATACCATTTCCAAGCTACCTTGACTGCATGAGAGCAGACGTTGCTTGAGCATGATATGACCACGAACGCGTACTCCAGGCCAGTCAGACGCGTTCCATCTATCCGGTGCGATATGACATAAAGAATTGCCGGTGTAATTGTGATAAAGTTCCAGATGAGCAAGACTAAATAATGCCGGAATTGAATGGTCATTTGGAACAGAGGACTGCACCCTTGTAGTATGAATGCTGCTGTTGCAGCACCTTTGGAGAAATCTGATAGTAAGGCGAAGTGTTTTGCGCAGTAAGCAATCAATGGGAAGACTGCAATGATGTCAAGAAGGTTGCACACTGTGATGAACGGCAAGCCTATGGCCACAAGGGGAAAGACAGGAGGATACGTGGGCCGACGTGGAAGTGGCCACGGAATGGCTGGGGGATCTGAAGCCAAATAAACGTCAGTTCTGATTTAGAAAACTATTACACTAGTGATAGGGTACTTGCCAGCGCAGATGTCCAAGTGCCAAGGCGATGCTAATTTTCGGGCTGACAGCAATCTTTCTTCTGAAGGAACCGTGATTTCCTGTGTGTGGCCATCGAGAGTGGTTGCTTGGATATCGACGATGACAGCACAGTCAAATATTACTTGCAAACTCTCTCGTGTTGGCGTCTCAGATGCAAGAACGTGTTCCTTGCTAGGCTGGAATGTTCTTGTGATTTGGAAAAGCCCTCCTTGAAGAGATCGGCCAGGCGTAAGTGACGGATTGTCTGACTTGCTGCTCGAAGGATATCTTAAAACAATACATGACTGTCCATCTCCCAAACTCCTAGCTAGACTGTCCTTTGAGTTGCGATGTAAACGCAACGAGAGTCTTAGGCTCTCATCCCCTTCCACTGCAATGACCACCTCGCTTTGCAAGGGAACTCTCGAATCTAAAATTAGAACCGCTACCAGTGTGGATGCTGTCTGAGGGTTAAGTGTCCATGTTCCAGGTTCTGACCTCAAATGCTTTTGCTCAGAGTCGAGGCATAAGCTTCCATTAGGTGAAATTGTCACACGTGGTTCTGGCTCGAGAAAATCTTCATTCGGATACAATGGCAACCATCTGTTGTTGTGCACTTCGCCAATCCTGTACCTCGATCCTGTAGTGCTTAGAAACATTGAGAATGGAATGGCAGGTAGGCTCCAAAGTAAAGCTGCCATCCGGTCTTCCGGGGTTTTCAAACCAAGAATTGTGAATGCGCTATAGTTGAGGAGATTAGCAAGAATCGTGTGAACATCTTCCTTCATTGTAGTCGTTCTTGAGCCCAGAGCGTTCCAGCATAGGATGAATTCTTTGTAAAGAAATTCAGGATCGCTTCCAGAGTAAGTGAACATGGAACTCTTTATTCCTTGAAATTGTTGCATGATTTTGTCCTTCAAGGGGCGTGCAATCAGCGCTGCTAGGGGTTCAGTTGCGTTGGATGCCAGGATCGTGTTCAAATATGGTAACCCTGGATGTAGGCCTTGGGTCCTCCATATCCACCATGCTACTTTTAACATGTTAAGGCCCATACGAAATATGGTCTTCTCATAGACAGGGCTTGTTATCACGTGCGCCTGCCCGACTGGCAAGTTGACAGGGTTGAATCCGGAATTTGAACACTGAACCTGACAAATACTGCCAATACCCGCCTCTTGGAATGTCCAACATCTGGTTATCCAAGCAGATGCGCAAAGCGCGGCTAAAGCCTCGCAGATATGCTCAGGCGTCTCAGAATAAGAGAGGCCCTGCATCCCTGAGTCCACCACAATGACCTGGGCTGCAGCTGCGTAGATAGAGGCCATCTGGTTGATTGCACGACGTCTTAAATGCTCAAAGTCAGCCCCGACAGGTATGCACAATGTGTCTACCCAGAACCAGGGCGTCTCCAGTTTGTTTGACATCCTGACCAAGTCCCACTGGAAGCCGCCAATATTGATGAGACCTCGCTTCGAAAACCAAGTAAGCGGGGGAGATTGCTGAGCGTATTCTGAAAGCCTCTCGAGTGGACACTGTGGCAACGAATTTGAATGTGGATTGCCTAGACCATCGGCCCAGACATGTGATATTGCATTGAAGGGGGTCTTGTTTGTCATTCGAGCAACCTTTAATTTCGGACTTCCAGCTTTGGTCTTTTCGACGCAGACAATAGGTACCCCTCCTTCCGATATGATGGATCTGACTTGTTCGATGGGAACAGTAGCGTGATTGCATTGGCATGCTTCGGTAGTATGTCTCGTCTCATAATTCTTCATGTCCACATTGTTGCCCACACAAGCAGTTGCAGAACACTCTTTGTGAGAGCTTCGTTGTGGAGTCGTCATTCGGCTCATATAGTAAACCACTGCATAGTTCTGCGATCGACACAGTTCTCTACTAATTTTGGGACACCATCCCTGAGCTTGAAGTTCATCCAGCAACAGCTGACAAGATGATGATATTTGCCAGTCATCGAGATTACCTAATGGAAATGCATTTTCGATGACGCCAGGAGTATAGGAGTACAGCATGGATAATGAGTTATCGCCCCCGTACTCGTACGTGAGGAGTTCTCGCAAAACACCAGACAATGAAATAACGAGTATTTTCGTAGAGAGAATGATAATGGGCATTGGCCATGTCGTACTTTGAGGAAGTTTGTCGAACGTATGAATAATAGCTAGAGCTTCTTCGAGGAACTTGATGAAAGAATCTCGAAATTCAAAGAGGTCTCCACATGACGGTTTCGGAGGCGTTTTCGCCTTCCAAGGCACCACTGCTGGCGCCACAACCTTCTTCAACCATTGGTCAAGAAGTCTCACAAGTATCCGAGAATCAAGTTGTTCGTTCTCGACATGCGGTGCTGCGGTGTTCCTCTTGAAATCCTCCCTGAATAGTTCAGGGTCGATAGCTTGTCCAAAAGGCGTGAAAAAGAGCCGTATCACTCCAAAGTAAAGCCATGATTGGATTAGAGAAGCCAGCTGATCTGTAGGGTAGGTTGTGTAATTGTCGGTAAATCCACATCGCTGTGGGAAAGATGAAAACTCCTTTCCATCATAGACATGCTTTGCCACCCATGGAACTACCAAATGCGGTGCTCCGGATGTTGACAAAGGTAGATAATCCATCTGCAAACTGAGACTTCAGCATCATGACAGAGACAGAGGATGTCGAAGTTGTTCTGGTTTTGGAGCTCGGAGATTGAAAGGATCTTATGGGGCGGTGCGGCGTGGTTTCAGCCCCCAAATGGTGCAGATCAATTCCTCAGCCACAATCAAGCTCGCTTACGTATGATCGCAGGAGCCCTGTAATTAATTATACATGCAGCACCCCACCTACTACGCACAGGCATACAAAGCAAGACGGTTCCTCAAGTAATACGACTCTTGGCATTCAATATCTTCACTCTTCAGGAGCTTATGTTTACTACCCTAGCACAGGGGTACATTCTTGTCAAAGTTATGAGCTCGACTACATTCAAGCTAGTGCCTGTACCAAAAGCGTACAATAAACGAATCGAGCCGTATTCAAGGTGTATAGCAATGAACCTTCTGCCTCTTAATTCAAACTTTACCTGTTGCTTGCTCTTCCACTTTGGAGTCTGTATCGAGAGGAGTCGACTGACCATCGATGACCTCATCTTCGACAAAAGGCGTCTCTAATCCCAGTCCAGGAACAGGGAACAAGTAGCATAATCCAATGAAAACGGAGAAGCTAATGGCAACTCCAACAAGAAACGTCAAGTTGTAGAGCCGGATCCAGCCCGTCCACTTAGCATCAGTATAGGCATTGACTGTGGCAACAAGGCCCGCTATATGAATGTTAGATCTTTTGCCCCTCAAATGTGCGGTCCTATACGTACGTAATAGTGGCCACATGCCGGCAGTGAATGCTGCGAATGCCCTCCAGTTGAAGCCAGATCTGAACCAGTAGATAGAACTGCTATTGCCGACATACAGTTCGTTTAATTTCAGTTTGTGTTGTCGGACAACGTGGTAATCGGCAAGCATCACTCCACTATTGTAATCACCTTTTAGCATGTAACAAGGCTCTCCATTTCACTTGTTGAACTTACGTTGCCGGGGCCATGAACACGCCAAACCCACTTAACACCGACAAGAACTTTGTAGCTGTGCTCAGAAGTTGCCATGGCCTTCTCTTATGGTCAGTATAGAACGAGATATATCAAGTTCTACTTTGAAGGACTCACTGCGTAGCAATTCCAATGCAAGCCATGATATAACCGCCACGGCGGATGTTGATGTATCTTGGATATAAACCAGCCATATCCATACCTGTCGAGACCGAGTTTAATACAACAGAAATCTTGAGCACACTGTTAATTTACGGCCAAGTCAGGCACCGCTTTGGTGATCTTACTGAGAATTGCGAGGTGACGCAACCGAGGCTGGCAAAGAATACTCCAGCCCGTGCGGCTGGGCTTGAGTTGTAATGATCTTGCATTGCGGCTAGAAGATAGATCGGATTCCTACCAATGCGTAATCAGAGTTAACCCTCGCCCAAGATAAGAAAGAGCAGCAAATGACATTCTAGGGATGTTTCGGAGAAACCTCCTCATTTGAACTTGACATTTATCTTGTATGCTTGAAACCACAGGCGCAGAAATTAGAAATAACATCAAAAGCTACTTACCAGATAAGATCGCCTCCCAAGACATCCTGTGCTGCACTGGTCACAATGATACCAATAATGGCTGTGATCGCGATCGTGATTGGAGCAGCCACCAGTTGAGACAGTGTTGGGGAATAACGTTTCGCCGCGTATCTTGTCCAGTCGGACTGGCCCAATGTACCAGCGCCCCATGCCCCGAGGATAGCGGTTATACCGAACATGAAACTCCATCCAACTGATGTGGTTGTGCTAGGCTCATGGAACAGCGAGCCTGGACCACCAGCCTGTGAGACAGCCCTGTCGAGAATCTATGAGCTAAGATACTTGGGGTTGTGGAATCCAGAACATACCAAGCAAGGCACCCAATACATGTTCCGGCGAAGAAGAAAAAGCAAATGACAAAAGGTATTTGCAGCTTCTCTGGTTTGATGAGCAGTCCCGGGATAAATGCACACATCCAAATGAGCAAGCCGATGAAGTCTTTTGTCAGCAGGTGGGAACTCTCTGAGAAGTAGTTCTTCATATGAGCAAGACCTAGACGAGATGATTTAGCTCCCTTTTACTGAATGCCGTGACGAGTAATATTATATTTACCTGGAATGATGGCTCCAAACATGACTCGGGTAGCTTGGCCACCCCAGTATGCTTGCATACCAAACCTATAGTGCTTAAGTCAATACATACTTCAGGCAGTGCAGAATATAGTAAGCCCCTTTCACTGGACTTAAGGTGGAAGGAAGTTGGACATAGTAAACGGAATTGTCCCGTCAAAGCCATAGAAGCAAATAGAAATTACTTACCACATGCACGACACGAAGATGCGGAGAATCACCGGGACTAGTAAGCATTAGTAAGAAGATTCAACAGGTAGATGTCATAGCCATGCGTCTTACAGTAAGAGCCTCGCATTCCCCAGGAGAATCGACTTGAAACTGTGAAGCCCACATGGTGAACTTCGCCGATCCAGCCACAAGCAACGGCGAGAAGACCCGTAATGAAGCCTCCGATGATCTAAGATTGTACATATCATTAAATATTGTCAAGAAACCGGTAAGCACATGGTACTAGTCTTACCACAACGCCGATAGCTTGCTGTGGACTGAGCCCAAAAGCCAGCAATGTACTGCCCGTCGACCAAGCTGAGATACAAGAGCCAGAAACAGTCCAATACCCTGGTCAAAACCATAACATTAGTTATGGCGGTTCTTGTTGTAAAAGTCGTTTTCGCGAATGGTAGATTGTGGAAGACGCACCAAAATAAGACCACACGCCATAGGTCCGTCGATCAGGAGGAATTGGGATCAAGTCTCTGTTGCACCAAGTGGTGTTTTCGTAGTAGGAGTTCTCGTCTTTCGGGCTGTTGATGTCGTTTGTCAGTGTTTTGTTGTAGCTCAGTTCCCAATGACATGTTGAATGAAGTTGATCCTCACACTTCAAGCCGCTTCTTCCACAATTCTTTGTTGAAACCCATGATGGAAAATCGTCGCAGTATGTGTCTTCACCACAGACACTGCTTGCACTTAATGCGATGTTGACGTGAATTCCCTTGGGATGCTGCTCAGGTCTGGTGCTGGAGATTATATGCAACTGTAGACCATGACAGCCCTTTTGGGAGCTTGATCTTGCGTTGCATATATCAATGAGCTTATCTTGGCCAGGGTTGCCTGCAAACAGTTGTCACCAAGCTGATTAACATGCTTGTGGGGCTGATGGCCCTGATAAGTTAAAGTTGGCCGATCACATTTGACCGATCAAAAAGGGGTTGCATCAATAGGAGGGGGGGCGCAAGATACCAGAAAGGTTAGATTATCTTCCTAATGGCCGCCTCCTAACCAACTCTTGCGATATCAAGATCAAGTTGTCCGACAAAGTGTTCTTAGATATCGAGACCGATAACACATTTGGTATTACAGATCGCTTCCAAAGGACTGAATCTATGGATCTAGTTATCTTGGAGACCATTCGACACCAAAAGCTCTTCCGAGGCGGAGTTACTATATCGCGCACTCAAATCTAGCGGGGTTCCTGTACGCCGATCGCAAGTTGTGGCGCTAGAGATCCATCATCTTCCGTCAAGGGGACCCACTGCTACATAGTATGTGTCGGCACAAGTTCCACCTAACAACGGGCAATCAACCCGAAAGCAGAGAGGAGGAGCTTTGGTAGACAATCTGCTGTACCGGCAATAGGCGGGAATGCGAGGCTTCAAAGATGCAGATGTAGTGTCGTTAAAGCTTCTCATCAAGCCTTGCTACATTCTCTTACATTTACCTTCTGTGTAGCCCCTTCAATAGGTCTGAGGAGGCAATAAATTGTAGCCATGACTCAACACACGATACTCGCCTTTCCTTTGAATAATGGAAACTCCATTCCTGCCATAGGCCTTGGCACTTGGCAGGGAAAGCCAGATGAAGTCAGAGAAGCGGTCACATTCGCGCTCCAACACGGTTACAGACACATTGATACGGCTCTCAATTATGGAAATGAGAAAGAAGTCGGTGAGGGTATCCGCGCGTCTGGCATACCCCGTGAGCAAATATGGGTCACTACCAAGCTAGACAACCATTGGCATCACCGCGTACGCGAGGGGTTCGAGCAATCTTTGCATGACCTAGATATTGGTTATATAGACCTGTTTCTTATCCATTTTCCTTGCTCTACTGACCCGAGCGACCGAAGCAAACACCTTCCAGAGTGGGATTTCGTCAAAACATGGTAAGATTCACTTGAGACCTTCTAGGAGCTGATACGTCGGCTGACGGGCGTCATGTTAGGCAAGGCATGCAAAGTCTCATGGACACTGGAAAAGTCAAGAATATTGGTGTTTCAAATTTCCAGATACGCCATCTCGAGCAGCTTCTCAACGATCCGTCTTGTCATATTGTCCCGGCCGTAAACCAGATTGAGGTATGTGATTCGTCATCATGACCAAGTAGCTCACCTAACGTATATAGCTTCATCCAAGTAACCCTTCGTGAGTAGCCTGTCATCCTTGACCTATTCCTTCCAATGCTCGATTCTCATCTCAGCTAGGCCGAAATTATTAGAATACTGCAAGTCTAAGAACATACACTGTACAGCTTATTCATGCCTCGGGGGCACAATTGGATCTCCCATCAACAATTCGGGGCCTTTGCTAGAGGACCCTGCAGTGCTTGAGATTGCAAAATCGAAAGAAAAGACACCTCAACAGATTGTGTATGTGATGGCAAGCTAGGCGTCCGCTTTCCGAGACATCCTGACTGACGTGACTAGGCTTATGTGGGGGTTACAACGCGGCACCAGCATCATTCCAAAGAGCGTGACACCCAGCCGCATCGCGGCGAATTTTGAACTAGATGGATGGGATCTGACAGATAATGAGATGGTTCAACTCAACTCAATCAAAGGACGTTTCAAGGTGGTACAGGATGGATGGATGCCTATAAAGGTTTTCTTTGGAGACGACGAGTAAAAGTGCGAAGTAAAATTTTATGCATACAAGCTAGTCTTAGGCATTTAAAATAAAGTCCATGCAGTATCTCGAGAAATTGGTTTAATGTGCATGCTGAGTATCATCAGTAAGAAGTTGCTCCCAGATAGTAGTGTTATTATTTGACGTGTTATGCAGGTATCTAAATGAGCAGGAGGTCTATCGTTGACCTCAAAAGTCATATTACATAGAATCTTTCGGCTTGAATAAATTCCTTAATCATTTGAGGCCCGAATTTACCACTATTAATTTAACGAGGCGCCGCAACTCTCACGTAACATACTTACTGCTTATCAGATAAGACTGTTCGGCAGCGGTTAGTTCCGGCGGCCTCCTAGAGTCTGCCGAACGGTGGAAAGCGGAGTCGGGGAACTCTTACTTCCACGGCGGCTAACCAGTCCACTCATTGCCATGAGCTAAATCATTCAGGCACGGATAATAACTCGAGTGCAGGGTGCGTGATGGACCCAAATTCCCCTGAGCAGCCGGCATCCAAGAGACGCAAGTTTCGAATCCAGTCCGAGTTCGGTCGGGCTCGCCAATGGAGGAGCCGCAAAAGCCGGCCATGCGATACGTGTCGACGCCGGAAGACAGCCTGCATAATTGACACACAGCCACCTTGTATGACATCCCATTTTCCCGCTCACGATATGAGAAGTCGCTTACGAGCATTCTAAGGTCGATTTTGTAGAGACAAGGGTCTGAATTGCCTGGCAACATCTGATTCACAGGTCCTCAAACCCACTAATGGCGGCGAAAATTTCGTTGATGGAACGGTTATAGTAGCCGATCCGGCCCTGGTCGAGCTTTCAGTGACTCCGAGCGTTACTACTGCCGAAGCACTGATCCCATCTGTCGGTGCTCCCTCGCCTCCTTGGACTATCAACAATGATGATCTTGTTGAAGTTCATGTCAATGTGACTAGTCCGGACGAAGTCGTTGGTGTTCGGTTGGTCAGAAGCCCAAACCATGGACGCAACTCACGATCCAGCGTGCATACCTTGGAGGATGGTGTGAATCTCACGGCTCATTCAATGGGCCTAGCTGGCGAACAGGACACCGAGCTTCTGGCATCTTTTCGGTCTGTTGTCATGAACGAGGTCAATCGAGTTGATGCAGATATAATCCAAGTGTGCTCCGGCGACCTCACTGGCAACCGGCCCCCCGTACATTTTTCCATGCTTCACGACGAGTTTGCGCCACTTGACAATGTGGCCAAGGGGAATGCATCACATAATATCGAGGCAGCAGTTAATGGACATGCAGATATGCTTGTTCGACTGTACTTTCGACATATCCATCCAGTCTATCCGGTGATATCTAAGACGCGCTTTCTACAAGCTTACTCTAAAGATAAACTTACCATTCCGGCATCGCTTCGTGGAGTTATATACGGACTGGCTTCAAATTTCTGGCACCACGACCCGAGTACGTCGCAGAATCTAAGTTTTAACCAACATGAGTTATTTGAAGAAGCATTGTCATCTCTTCAGAGGGAGTTTCACGGACCAAACCTGTGGACGCTGCAAGCGTGCCTCTTGCTCATACATGAGAATCCAGCGGAAAATGCCACCATCGAGACTCCAAGAGTTTGGACTCTGACTTCTCAGGCGGTGGCTTGTGCGCAAATGATCGGATTACATCGAGACCCAACCAGATGGAATATTGCGTCATGGGAAAAGAAATTACGCAAGAAGCTCTGGTGGGCGACATTTGCTGCCGACGTCTGGTCTTCCGTTTGCCATGGCAACCCCCCTCATGTTTATCTCGAAGCTTTTACTACTTCGGACTTGACAATGGATGATCTGGCTTTTGATGAGGCTGTTCCGTTAGAGCTCAGATATCTAGTTGACCTGACCAGTTGCTCCCTAGACGTCTCCGCTAGCGCGCGATTCTTTGAAGGGATAACGGTTACTCGTATAGTGCATAGACTGCTCTTGTCTTCCTAGTACGTACCAGATTTCACACTTCCTCAAGGTCAATCCTGACTTAAATATTCTAGCCTGGATATCACCTATGAGATGTCAATGCAAGATCTGTCATCAAGAGAGACTAGCTTACTAAGTTTGAGGACGGATCTTCATAATTGGCAATCCTTGCTTCCGAGGTGCATTATGATGGACAAAGCCTCATCTGCGGATTCGCGATTAAATAACGGTGGGTTTGAAGCCATTTCACAATAAGACTTACTTGATCTAACTCTGCGTAGCACCTGTGCATCTGGCTTTCTTTGCCGCTGTGGCACTTCTCTTTCGTGCCCTCATGAGTCCCGTTACGAAAGCAGCCAAGAGAGACCCCGACTCTAATTTACGGCGTCACTTCTCAAACGCTGTCAAGGATTTTGGGTCATTCACAGACTTCATGAATGAAATTACACCCGCAAGTTTACATGGATTCTGGGGACTTCGTGAGTTGCTATAATGTGAGCTCCTAAGTTATTGCTGACAACTGACGCCTTTCATAGACGCTAGATCACAACTAATATTGTGTGGCAACTTTCTTATCTATCTCTTTCTTCTAGCCCCGGATCAAAGTCAGGTCCAAGAGACTTTTCAGATCCTTGAGCGATTCCATGAATCGCTCCAACGCCTCAGTGCAGTAGCTGACAAGGTCGCCATTAATCTGCTTCGACCTGTAGCACTCCGGATTGATTCATTCTTTACACAAGCAGCTCAGATTATGCGGACAGGTTCGCCGACAACATCAGTGCCGTCAACGGTCGGATAACTTGAGATAGTGGCGCATTTATTTGATCTGTTATATGACATATCCGCCAGGACCATGGTTATCGCACTTCCCGCTTGCATGACCCGCTTCAGGAAATCATAGCACACTGGATCTTGAAGGGATCTAAGTGGAGAATTGGTCCAGCAATCAGGCAATCATCGGTTAACTTCGACAATTTTAGAGGTTCGCCGATCACGATCGGCCACCTAAGCCAGGGGGACGCTAAGCCTGCCTTGTCTCAGGATGCAGCTGCATTGCAAGCATGCCAGTCTTTAGACGCCTTATCGTCGCCACCACCATCATTCTCGCGGAGTATCGTGCCGCATGATGTGGAAGGCTGTTGTGATTAAGCGACAACACCTGATCCATGTTAAAGATACGTGCATATAGCTTCTTGATTGTTATATATGTCTCGTTACCTTGTGTACCAAGTGAGCTTGTCAACCCTCTGATTATCTCCCAGGCGGGGTATTACATAAAAGTGCTTGCTTGATTTGGACAGTCCAATTATGGCCGTAGGCTCTGAACCTATTCTAAGCATCCCAATTATCGACTTCGGCCCGCTTAGAAATGGTCATCCCGAGGATGCCGCTGCAGTCGGCAAGGCAGTTTATGAAGCCTTCAGGGATGTCGGGTTTGCATATCTGATCAACCACGGCATTCCTCAACAGGTTGTCAACGAAGCATTTCAATGGGTTAGTGTGTCTAGTGCTTTGTCTCGTCGTTCAAGAGAATCTAACTGAAGAACCTTAGAGTGCTAAGTTCTTTGCACTGCCTCAAGCCATCAAAGATAAAGCGCCGCATCCTCCATATGGCTGGTGGCATCGCGGTTACTCAGGGATTGGTCGGGAGAAGGTTGTTCAAATGGTCTTTGACCAAGCGAGCATCGGAGAGCTGCGGAAGATTCCCGACTTCAAGGAGTCGTTCGAGCTAGGAAGAGAAGATGACGAGAAGACAGCCAACATCTGGCTTCCAGAGGATGATCTCCCCGGGTTCCGTCAGTTCTTTAACAAGTTCTATGAACAGGGTTACGCGCTAGAGCTAGAGCTGTTGCGGGCTATTGCCATCGGTATGGGATTTGACGAGAAGTATTTGTGGGAATATCACACCAAGAAAGACAACCAAGTCCGTCTTCTACACTATCCTCCGGTCGAGGAAGAGCTACTGCGAGGCGGTAAGATGGAGCGGATTGCTGCACACACAGATTTTGGGACAATGACGATACTATTTCAGGATGAGGTTGGAGGGTTAGAGGTTGAGGATATTCATGAAACTGGCAAATTTAACCCTGCTCCCTACATCCCAGGTTCGGTAGTAGTCAACATCGGCGATTTCCTTCAACGATGGAGTAATGACGAACTCAAGTCAACTCTGCATCGGGTACGAGCCCCGCCACTTGTTCAGGGCAATGGCGAAGGTGAAGGCAGTGGAAAGGTTACCCGAGCTCGGTATTCCATTCCATATTTCGTTACGGCGGACCGGGAGAAGACCATTGACTGCCTCCCTGGATGCTTTGGGCCAGATCGACCAAAAAAGTATGAGCCGATTAATAGCGGCGACTATATTGCGATGCGTCTCAATGCTACTTATTGATGTATGTAAAGATGAACGCAGTGAACAAAGTAGGCCTTCATCACTTGTAGCGCCCTAGGCAATACGGTTCTTTAATTTATCGTGATGAGGTGAGATTATCTATATGAGTTTGAACTGATAGGGTAGGGTGCCGTTATTTCCTATAGCCCTCCAATCAAGAGCCCTCAAGACGTTCAGAAAGGAATTCTATTGACATCTGCCACCAATTGAGTAACCTCAGACACTTGCCGTATCGAACTAAGAAACTCTTGTCTTTCCTTGTTCTCAAAATGAAGTTCATCATGATAAGCTCCAAAAACAACGATTTCTCGAGCCGCAACGTTCAGGCTGGCTCCATGAATCATGTAAGCGCCATGAGTCTGTTTCACACCCGCTTCAACCTCTTCTAGAAGAGAAGCGATGGCTCCTAGCTTAGTAGCGTCTCTTTGACGTATGAGCAATATCTCTAAGACTTGATGTTGAAGGAGCTCATCTACTCCAATATTTGTTTCGAAGAGCTTCAGTTCGGGGGGACCAGTCGCATATGGTTTCAGATCCACTTTAAATTCAGCAAACCCAGGAGATTCGATGAAATTATAGAAACTTGATGCAGAAGGCCATTCTATAGAAAGCAAGTCAGGGTTAGCAACATATTGATGCGCAGCTTTATCACACACCTAAAACCAGAATTTCTCTAAAGCTCGACGTAACATCCTGCTGATCTTCCAATCTGATGAATCCGCGTAGGCCGCCCAAAACACCTCCATTGCGAAGTTTGGGAAGGAAAGTTGGGAGTACTTTCTGCACTGCTTCTTCGATCACTTTGGCGTCTTTGATTAACTGAGGGAATACGATCTCAATAATAGCCATTGTTCTTGAGTTTAGTCGTACAATGTCAATGTGGTCGTCTGTCCAAAATTATTCTTAACTGTTAATATCCAGTGCTATGTATACAGGAAAAAAAAGCCTTACATGGACAGCACGACAATACAGGAGACTTTTATACCTAAAGGGATCTATAGGCGCCTGCGAAAATGGTGCGAGAGAGTTCTACCTCTGCTTGCACAATACGGCGAAACTCGATACGCCGCCGGCCGAGAGCCGAAGACACCTTGCGGACTTGGCTCCTCTGCGGCTGCGGGGGTTAAGCCTATTGCGGCTTAGACAAACCGGCTCCGTTGGGGCGTAAGAGTCATAATCCGGCACGGCCGGGCGGAGTCCAGGCTTCTTTTTGACAAATGCAAAATACACCTGATCGTCTAAAACGGCCCTACACCGAATCCCGATATCTCAAATTTGTGTGCGCGAGATCATTAACATCGACGCGGCGTCTGCTGATAAGTCTAGCGACCTATTTCAATTATGGCCTCACGCCAAAGGTCCTGCATACAATGCGCGGAAGCCAAGCGCCGCTGCGAACCACAACTCCCACAATGTACACGCTGCATTCGCCGCGGAGTACATTGTCGATATAGAAACCAGCCTCTCGCAGAATCTCATGTGAAGGTGCAGTCCAAGCGCTGCCCACTACAAGTATATGACGCACCGGCAAGTTGGCTTAGGGATGAACCAGGCGACACATCAACAATCATACAGCTAGATACTGAGCTGGTCCCGGGACTCTGGGACCGGCCAATAGTAGAACAGGCTGGATCCTTTATTTCCCCGGAAACCTATCGCTCAGATATTCAGCGCGGTCAGGCTTATCCTACCATCGCTAAATTAGATTCGTGGTCACTGAACACCCTGGTCCGCCAAATAGGGTCGTGGCCGGATGCATTCGTCAACAATCTGGAGACTCCTTTCTTGCATCCTTCCGCCTACGATTCAGATTCACTACCACTGCCGCTTCAAAGTGCATTTAGGTAAGCTACAAATACTTCTTTCCTACGTTCCCTTCATGTCGTACATCATACTATCTTCGAGTGATCAGATATTGAAAAGACCCGTCACATCGCAACGCTTGCTGACCTCAATGCTCTGGTAGCGCGTGTGCTGGCTACATCGCTAAGACACCTATCAACAAGGGTGTGTGCCTTAGTGTTGTCGAAAGAAACGTAAATGGTTTGAAGGAGCGAAACCCTTGCTCCATGCCGGTAGCTTTACATCTTGCATCCTTGCAAGCATTCTTGATCCTACACAGCGTTCAACTTTGGGACGGAGACGTCAAGCAACGAGCACAAGCCGAGTCTCATGCACGCGTCCTCGAAGACTGGGCTTTGCTTTTGCATCTTAGACTTTTGAAGTCTAGAGACAAACTAAGCACCTCCAAAACAACATGGTCTGAATGGATCGTTGCGGAAAGTGCAAGACGTACAATTTTGATGACACTACTGGCGCAGGGTGTTTATGAATCCAGCAAGTACGGCGCCTGCACCTATGTGCCCCTGATGGCAGAGCTTCCATTTACGACTAACGATGGTCCATGGAATGCCAGAGACATGAACGGGTGGATGGAGGAGATAGAAAACCGTGGTACAGAAATAGCGACGTATGTCGGCTTTGCAACTAGATGGAAAACCGTCGGTCGCGGACATTTAGACACATTTGCGAAACTGCTGCTCGTGCCCTGTTTAGGTGTCACATACAGGGATCGTCTCTCCCTATGATCTTGATCTCTTTTGCGTTGTACGAATAAATAATTAGCGATGGCGTTTGGTAGAAACTGCTAAAGAATCTCGACTTATTATTACTAGCATACGCCAATTATATCTATTATCTATATCGTAGAGATATAAGACAGAAGTGTCCTTCGTAGTCTATCACAGTGTTCGTTGACTGGTTTTCGCATCTCGGCGCTCCCATCTTATGGTGCTTGGCTCCTTTGGTCGTGACAGAAGCGATGCGTAATCTGTCTTCGGCACCGTCTGTGTGCCGTCCAGTGTGTAGAAGTGAAAGTTGCGTACTAGAGAGGCGATGATCACAGTGAGATTGAGATACGCAAATTTCTCGCCGACGCAGCGATGGCGACCAGCTCCGAAAGGAAGGTAAGGGCTCTTAGATCCTTTGGAGATGGAGGCATCGTCACCAATATCGACATGGTCAACATATGAGGCTTTGATGGAGGCCCAGCGATGAGGATCCCACTGTTCAGCGTTGTCGAAGTAGTCCTCGCTCATTGCCGTGACCAACGGGGATGCGAGGAGGACCTTGTCTGGCGTGATGATGTATGAAGTATCGGGAACTCGCATAGGTCTCTTGACTTTTCGCATGACAGAGTGAATGGCTGAGTGCATGCGCAAGGTCTCCTTGATGACACTTTGCATCAGAGGAAGTTTTTCCACGTCCGGGTATTGTAGTGGCGCCAGTTCCCCATTACGACCGAGGTATTTTAATTGCTCTTGGTATAGTTGCTCGACAATATCAGGTCGCGACGCCAAATGCACCATGATCCAAGAGCTTGCGGATGCTGAGGTATGCTGTCCCGCCATGAGTAGCGTGATCATGATACATGCAATTTCCGCATCCGGTACAGGTGTTCCATCTTTGTACTCGCAGTTCATAAGGTTCCATATCATATCCGAGCCCTCTATCTCGGCATTTCTGCGACGCCTTTCGATTATATCCATGTAAATATTCTTCATCTTCATGTGCGCTTCGTCTCGCTTCTTGTTGTGAGGTAGGGGTGCCCAAGGCATAAGGAAGTTGATGGGCTGGAAGCCCATGTCGAGGTCGTGATATAACAACGCAAACTCTGCTGAGAGTTTCTGCCGTACTTCTTCTCCTTGTAAGGCCCTCGCGGCCGTAAGGATTGTGATCTCGGACATTGCCTGGCACACATTAATCGTCCCACTTTCTCCTTGAAAGGCAGAAGCAGATCTGATGTAGTCCAGAACCTCGCACTCAATGAGTGGGACGTAACATTCAAAGGATTGTGTAGTGAGTCCGAACTTGACAAACTTTTTCTGCTCCATCAGCTTCGCATTGGGGCAATCATATACAACATCAGCTCCGAACACTGGGGTAGTCAAAGGAGAGTATATTTCCTCCGCATTGAGATCTTGATGTTTTCCGTTTAAGATGAATTCGTTGCCTTCAACTCCAAGGTAACAAGTGATTCGCTTGCCGAGAAGCACAAATGTGAAGATGTCGCCGTGCTGGATGAACAATGATGTTAGCCCAGCCGATCTATCGAATGATTATTGATGATTTCCTGACTCACCTTTTCACGACAGCGTAAGAAGAACTTATAGGGGTCGATTCCGTACTCTATTGCATTGCCCAGGAATGGTAACCAGTGAAATGCCAGCGGTGGTTCGCTTTTCGGCCGTGGAAGGAGCTGGCGAATGACATTGCTGATGACTATGACGAGAACGACCGAAGCGGTCCACGACAGCATTTTAGCAGAGACTTGTGGTGCTTGAAGAGACTCGTCTATTGGAATTGAAGGACTGTAACTACTCATACTTGCAGTGATGGAGCGAACAGAAGAGTAGTCTCGGGAAGTGTACTGAGCCGCAACATCGACTGCATTTATACGGTACCCACGGCCGAAACAAAGGTCCCCATGGAGAATTTTTCCGGTGGTAGACATCTATAGTACACAGTGAACCTGCCTATTGAGCAAGTAGATTAAGAGTGATTACGGTGCTCCGTCTGGCTTTCAAGTACGATGGCCAACTGGTGCTGTCCTTGAGGCTGCCACTTTCGTATTCGTATTCGCACTTTGCTCAGGGGAACACTATCGCCCAGCCGTGACGCAAATGACACCCAGATGTTAAGAATACCGCGGAACCCTTAGTTTACATCTGAATTCCGGGACAAAACCTCAAATAGTGAAGAATTCGTCAAAAAGATCTTGACAAAGCACTACTAACCCTGCAAAAACTATCTTCAGCTCTAGGCATCAAGTAGAAAGGTCAAGAAATTCACTACAACTGATAAAGCCTCTTAGGACCTCAAAATAAACCCGATGCTGCTGTAGAACAAGAAGCAGAATATCGAGCCACTTTCAATCTTGCTGGAAAAAGTCCGACGGACTTTTCTGGGACCGTATTCGGTCTGGATGCGAAGACAGTGGAGTCGCGACCAAAGGAGGCACGGTCACGTATTGGCTCACTATCTAGATTGACGTATACTGGAAGAATGGTTTCAATAACCTGGTCGCTTCATCATACTCTATGAACAGCTGGGCGATGCATCTGACCGAGTCCGTCCGTCCAGGGGCGGTGTTGGAGGCGGCCAAGAGATCGAGACCCTTCCAAAGCAACCATGCATTAACTGAGGTGGAGTGGTATTTGGAGCAAGCAGCCCAAAACTTGGCTGTCGGAAGACTTATGATGAAACTCGTATTCTATCAGCGTTACTCATATTTCACACGTACTATCTCAATGCTCTATCGATCGAGACGAACTTCAAATTACAAGCCTCAGCCGAACCAGTCCTGAACTTCAGTAACTCCATCGGATTCCGGCTCAGCCCATAGATCGTGGTGAGGATTTCCAGGATCACCGCGCCTTGTAATCCCTGAGTGATCATGGTTAGTGCAATTTCCACTGCATAGACTCCACTGGATGAACTCACGGAACGCTATCATATCCTTCAACTGGCCTGCCGTAGCTCCGTCGTAGTACCACGCTGCATTTTTGATTATTTTCGTCTTCTCTTTCCCGTTCCCACCTAGATCAACCACGAGATTATAGTACTTTCGCGTCCCGTACTTTGCGTGTGACTCGGTGTGATCAGATGGGATGAAGTGCGTCTTGAGAATCTCCTCGTTGATGACGCTACGCGGGATCTGAAATACCTATCAGCTAGGACATTCCTTCAGGGATGACGCCAAGCGGCCTCACAAAGGTATTCTCCCCATCGCTTGCACATTGTGTCCAGTTATAATTACCCGTGAGATAGGTCTGGCCCAGCTTGATCGACGATGGACCCATATCGAAAGGTATATAGTGCAAACTGTATCGATAATAAGAGGAATCCGGTATTCGATACAATAATGCTCTTGGAAATATTCAAAGCTCCAAGTGCAATGATCGATAAGAATGTTAAATTTATATGGGCAGTTGAGCTGGCTACCTCTCACCACGAATTTGCCTCCAGAGCAGCCTACCCAAGCGGGTGCCTGATAGTGGTGCTGCGCCACTCCGGGTTTACAAAGGCGTCTATCGCTGATATAGATTCATGAGAATAACGGCACAGTACGTAGCGACCAGAAGAGTTTATAATTATCGAATTTCATGATGCTACGCTGAGAAGAAGCTCAGGTTTGCAAGAGATTTCAGCCATAATCAATTCGAGACTACGTGTTTTCGCTTTTGCCACGGGTTCAACTGTGGATGAATATATGTTTCATTTCTTCCATCGAATACCGGTCCTAACTTCTCCATCACTCGCAATTGATTATTTTCTTTGGCAACTTCAATCGCTATCTTGATCCTTTGCTTTTCCATCATTCCTCTGCTGCGGGGGGTATTTTGCTCGTGCACCGGCCTCGTAACCCCAGCCACCGTAGCCGCCGGCAGCTGCGGCGCCGCCGAGCCCGCTCGCAGGCCCGGTGTCGATCTTGCCGGCAACCTGATTGCCTGCGACGTCCGGCGCGGTCTTGGCCCAGGTGTTCAGCTCGTCCCTTGTCTTGCCCGTGTACTTCTTCATATCCTCGTCCGAGATCTCGTTGTTGCGGCCGCTCTTCGCGTCTTCATAGCGGCGGTAGAGCGACTTCTTGGGCTGCTCGCCAGTGTTGTTGGCACCTTCCTCGCTCACACTAGAGGATTTCGAGCCCATATTGTGTTAAAGGATTGTCTTTAGAGAGGAGATATTGTGTGGATCAGATACTGTTGCTAAATGCCAAGGACGCTGGGCTTGGCTATCAGGTCCGGCTGTGTCTGTCTTATACTCGAAAGCCGACCTGCAGAATTGCCAAAACAATAAGGATGCCGCCCCGGGGTTCGAGTTAGCAATTCTATGGCACGTTCATATGATCAGCTGAGGCAGTGCCCACACACGCTGACGTATCCGGCCAAACCTTCACGATTTGGGCGGATTCGGGTGGCTTTGTCTATGCTAGTGTGAGACAGCAAATCAGAGCCTGGTGTATCGTGCTGTGCCACAGCCACATACCGCCGTTAGTGCTCTACTCTAGGCCCAATGTGCCTTGACAAAAGCCTTGCTCGTGTTCGATGCGCCCTGTGATATTGGACTCTCCTCCTTTATACTTGATCTTAATGGTGGAATATTGAAAATTCTACGAATGTCACTTTCTTGATATTTATGAGCCTCTTGGGAGCTGCTACATGTAAAACCTATCGCCGTCCCACTATTACCGATGCCGATACCGATGGTTTCGGCCTACTCGTTTCGGCCTACTCGAAGGTCCGCCTCTCACCTCCGGGCGAACTACGATCAACGGGGCATCCATCGTTCAGAGGAATCCCGCCCTGACCTCAAAGATTACGGGCTTTTTAGCCGATACATAGATCTTAGGGATGGCTGCGGCCGTTAATATATATGCGAAAGGTGTGATTACCTATTTGCTCCCAACTTAGAGGCTTCGTATTATTGACCGAAAAGGGTTGGGCATCCTTTCTACTAAATTTCGGGCTGGACCTGCAGGTGTTGGGGCTGCCGCACCATAGCCAAGCCGCTGGGAAGCGTGAGAACATAGCCCATGCAATTTGCTTGAAGTCATAAAGCAGGAGGATGTGCAGCTCATTGTTACCGCCAAAGCTATGATCCAGAAATTGACATCAGCTGTGAGTCGCTAGGAGCATAATCGACTGAAGAGTGATATTGAAGGTTATAAAAAAAAGGTAAGAATAGTTCGACGGACGTGTACAGTAATCTAGAAGAATCTGCCCAAGTCAACGGCAACTTTGGCTCCCATTAAGGAGATACCAATGCGTCTGCCAATCACGAGGCCACAACCGGCGACTTGCGCTTCAAAAGATGACTGGTTTATCCCAATGCTTGTGTCCACTCCGATCCCAAACTCAACATCGAACACTGAAGCCTTTGCAACAAACAGATTCAACCCTGCCTCAACGCCCACATATGTCGGTACTGGAATTGGCAAATTGCCGATGTATCCTATTCCAATAGCAGCCTTAGCTTTGAGAACTTCGATATCCAGAGTTTCAATCTTGGACTGGGTCGGGGCTATAGCCTTGAGAAATACAGCGGAAGCCTCTTGGCTCAAGGTCGTGAAAATCTCATCATCAGCATTGATCGTTGTCCCTACTCCAATCCGCCAGAGAGTAACATCATTATCTTGCTGGACCTTATTGACCTTGAGTTGATTGTTTGCTTTAAGCTTTTGAGAGAGCTCCGATGCAGCTTTAGCCAGGGCGTCTTCGCCTTTCACAGCAATCGCCGCTGGAAGCTGAGTAAACCCGACCGTTCCGTTCTTGAATTCGAGATAGTTGGCTAAGTAAATTCTTTCCGTCTTATACTTGCCTACCGAACCGGGCATTTCGATACCAGCACACAGTGTATAGCTGTCTTCGATTTTCATCGTTGATAGTCTTGCTTTCCTCTTGAAGTTGGTACCACCCCACACAAAATGACCGTTTAGGTCGATTCCAAGGACTTTGTTCAAATCAAGGCTTTGTTGTTTCTTCTCTGTCAGTCCGTCAAATACTTTGATGTTGAGGATGGTGTCATCTTCCAATTCAAGACGGAAAGAAAATTTCGAGGGTTCCATGATTTTAGAAAGAACGTGCCAGCTGAGGCTCTCGTGAGACAAATAGGATATGTGATATTGTTTCAATTTTGTTATTTGAATACTGTCGATGCAGTCAAGAGAATCAATGGCTGGCGGACCTTGATCCTTTTATACATGAACCAATACCAGTATCCTTAAAAGAGTAGATCTCGGATCGTGAAGCATCCGGTCGAGGAAGGAAAATTTCAATCACAAATTTCCACAACAGAAACACCAGAGTATGCCTACTCCTCTGGATCAAGATCATTCACATCGTAAGATTATGGCAAGTGTCCTAGAACAGCACGATCCAGACCACTCTCTCAAATCTCGCAATCATATGGTCCCGTGTTTCACCGCAGCTGGATCTTGACACACCAAAGCTAGCTGAGAGTGTTGGTACTAACTCAAAAAGTGTCCATGGTTGCCCAGTTGCAGATCACCCAATAGTTATCCTGTGGCTGGCTCAGTCGTGATTGACTCGGCAATATCCTCGGCGATCATTTCTTTTGAGGTCAGAATGGGCTGTTCGGAGGAACGGGAGCAACGCGTGGAAATTACAGCGCGCGGCATAAATCTGACGTAGGGCGAGAACTGCCTAGAATTATACACACACTGCTCTCACGAAAGCTTATGTCCAGAGAATTTGTCCGACTTGAGTAAGGGATTAGACTGGTATTTCTGTGTACGAAACCCTTGATGGCCAAGGAATACATCAATCCTAAAACGAGATGCGAACAGTGACGATCGAAAGAGAAGAGCAGCGACTACGATATGCTCTCCTAATGCTTGAGCCATTACTAGGCATACAACTGAGCGGAAAATCAAGGTCTGGTGTGGGTTCTTTCTCTGACTGCTACGCCGCTGACATATATCGTGTGCCGCGGCGCCATCAAAAGGGGTTTGTAGCTGGCCGAGGATGTCGATCTAGAGCGGTCATCGACAATCGCCAGACACAAACTTTCCCGCAGCCCTCCCGGACTTGCCGAGACCTTTCCGGGATACAATCAGACATTTCGGTGTTGAGTATTGTCGGAATCACAGCGGGCCAGCCTTCTGGCGAGCTGATTCGGAGGATTGAATTACTTTTGAGCTGTATCTGTCCCGCGCTACAGCAATAGACTTCCACAAGATCTCCCTTATTTGTCTCTTCTATATGGACAAACTCCCGTCACAGCTGATGTCGATGCAAGTTGTTGCCTAGCTTGCTGCTACCAAAAGAGAGCTCATCCGAATGGGTGGCTGGCTGAGCTTGAGATAGTGAGTTGCACCTGAACCAGCCGGATAACCCAATCCGGCCAAGAAACTTGAGATTTGCATTTCGAGGAAGAAATTGTCTCGGATTCCAAACCGGTCAACCCAGTGGGGATATCGATAATCAATTTGAACATGAATGGGGCGTTCCCGTCGATAATTGCTGCTTGTAGTGTCCTGCTGGAACTTCCCAAACAATCTCATATAGCCGGATCAGCTTTCAAAATATCTCCCATATCACCGCTGCGCAAAATTATATGTTACAAAATCCTAAAAGATACAATCCATGAGATGGTTTCAACATTGGGTATCCTGTAGCCCTTATTTGGAATGTTGAGTTATGATAAAAAAAACTATACTAGTCCTCATATGTAACTTCCGATGGACTTATTGCGACACCTAGGCCTGTTAAGAATGCATGATCACTTAGATCGCCACTGCCGTGGCGCTCATTTTCACGTCATTCTAAGTCTCATTTGTCAGATGTGCTCCGAAGTGCTAAATGAGGGTGGCTTCTCAGTGGTCGTACATCTTGCTGTATAGTATCAAGGGAGCGTTTACTCTTCGGGCAGACAGTCTGCCACTAAATCTAGACCTATGGCAATATTTTGCTGCCATACTACGCTGCAGCTCATCACCTGTCTAGCATTTTTAGCTGCTCCTGTCCAGCCAGCCACATCCCCTCTATCAACACTTTAAGAAGAGCAACGCCACTATTAAGGAAAGATATGATCCGCCTTGATGTCTCTCAGTGGACCGACTATAATGGCTGTCAGAAGCCGCTGTCTCAACTCAGGTCATTTTCCTCGCACTAGTCTCATAGTTATTGCCCATGGTTGATAGAAAAGACGCACTATTTGGCGATTGAAGCCATCCAGAGTTAGCTACAACCATTTTTAGCCAGAAACCTCAATCATGCATGGCTGGTCCCCGGGAGTGCCGTCCAAAATCGTGTTAGCACTAGGTTTTAAGTGAGAGCTCAAGGGGCCGTGATGTGTCACACGATATAAAAGGAATCGACTCTTCCCTGACATTCAGAAATATTCAGCCATGACAATAGTGGTGTTGTGGTATATCTGAGTCCCATCAGTCATTCTCATATTCTGAAGTACTTCATTATACACAAGTTTAGGCTTTATCCTTCAATCTGATCAGTCATCATGTCGGGAGATGCGGGTGACAAGAGCACGGAGATGCTTGGGCGCATCAACCAGCAGCTCCGTCAGGCTCTGCTGGGTTGCTTTCCAACTGCCTACGAGCAGTATGTCACTCTCCAATTGCCTGGTACTATCATTGATACCAGGCTGGGTGGCTCCTATTTGCCTAAAGGAGAGCGAGCGACGGCTGACATCCGCAATATGATTCAATGCAACGAAGCCATGCTGGTTGATTCCATGGTACCACTAGATAAGATCATGGTACGTAGGCCTGTATCCTTGTTTTGAAAACGTACATTGACCACAATTCAGCTTGGACCTACCGGAAAAAGCGTAACGAGGAGTTACATGACCGCTCTGGACATGCTTGTTCCTCGAAAGACAGAGATTGGCTCGATGGATATCGACTCAGAACTTAGTGGGGATAGCACGAGCAGATACTCTCAAGCCATGAAGTTCTTGCGGTCGAAAGAAACAATTCTTACGCCGAAGTCTGAGATTGTAGGCTCTCGTCTAAGGGGTGCAAAAGACAAAATGGAGGCTCAAGGCATCTCGGGTACGGTCGTCGATCGATACGTTGAGAAGCAGATAGCATGGTCTGAGGCTCGCGGTAAATGGGATGCAGTCCGAGTCGAAGCCCAAGGTGAGAGGTCTACCCTGTAAATTGAAGATTCGCTATCTAATGTCACGCGATTCAGAGGCACGGGAGTCAAATGATGAAAATCTACAGAGCGCTGCTCTGTTCACTGCGAGACAGAAGGATCTCAAAAGAGTAAGTCTACAGTGAAGAGCAAAGCAAAAGGGTCCGCTAACGATTGTAAAGACCCAGGGTGAACTTCATGCACGTTGGATGGACTGGGTGGTGAACGGAGACAAATTTCGTGTTGAGTACTGTTTCTGTGCGTCCAAGCCCTGCTTCCTTTCCAAAGGTGTCCAGTTCTTACTAAGATTCTCCAGCCGTTGTCGACCGGGACTCTATTATGGCAAGGATTGAGAGAGGCAGAGTAGGTCCTATTAATACCATATTCCTTCCGGTAATATTTCTAACACACTTCAGGAAGCTACACGGGACTCTTTGTTGACCAGTATTGACGGAACTGAATGGGCTCAAGTTACATTGGAACCCCGAAACTGGTATGTTGAAAATCACCGACCTAGATGCCAGAATTTGGTAGAGACTTATCCTGTAGGGCTCATATTTGCCGAGCAAAAGCAATTGACTGGAAGACTCGCAATCCAACTAATCCTGCCCATCTTCAATTACGCCTTGAGAGTCTGAAACGCATGAAACAGGCATACGAAGTTTACCAGGAAGTGAGTGATACATCTTTGATTGTTGCTTGTTTGACTTGTTTACCGCATGCTAATCAGAGCTTGTAGAATCTGAAAGTCCGCGGTACACCGAGGGAGCCCAAAACCACTTGGGACGCAATCAGCGCACAGTATAAGGGGTTGACGGACGAAAAGGCCCGCCGTCGGATTGAACCGTTGTATAACGCTATGTCAAAAGTCAATCAGGCTCAGGAGGATTTTACGCAGAAAGAAACAGACAATCAAACTGCCAACGCTGGCACGGATAAGACGCTACAGGACACGACCCTGAAGGCGTTGAACGCCGCGAGAGAGACCTTGAGGAATGCCAAGGATGCTGCGGCTCGAGAAGAAGATGCAGCGGGAGTGAAGGCGGAGCAAGAAGATGAGCGTAGGACGGCGCTCAATGACTTTTACTCTTGCGAACAGGATTTGCGCAATGCAACAGAAGAAGCGGAAAAGGATCCAAAGGATTCTGCGAAGCAACAGGCAGTAGCAACAGCTCGGAATAAACTCGATGTGGCCAAGACCAGGTGGAAGAGAGCCGACGAAGCACTTCAGGCACTTGGGACGAAGGAGTCCGTGTCTAAACTCGAAGTCGATGGAATCAGAACCATGGAAAATACTGCCAAAGGGCAGATCACTTCCATCAACAGCGAGATAAGCGAACTTCAAATGAGTCTAGGAGCTACGGGTGCCGGGCTCGCTAATGCGCCAAACGTGATCACGGGCGTCTCCAAGGAGAACGCTCTCACCTACGCAAATGATGATGCCTCCATGAAACCTGGCGCCGCCACCGCGGCCCTCGGAGAAGAGAGCGCTGACGTGTGGACAAAAGTCGCGTTTTCTGTAGGGACCTCATCCGACAGCTCGTCGACTAGAGAGTCCAACGTTTCAGCCTCCGCCAATATTTCAGTCGGTCACTGGTGGGCTAAAGTGCAGGCGAGCACAAGTTTCTCGAGCTCTAGCAAGACAGTTTCAAGTCAGATGTCGTCATGCAGGGTGGATGGCTCATTCTCGGCTATGGTGGTCAACATCAAGCGTCCCTGGCTTCACAGCGAGCTTTTTCAAGACTTTGACATCGATATACCAGCCGGTACAAAGCTTAGCCCAGGTGCGCAGCAGATTAAGGAATGGGTTGACAAGGGCGACCGGGGGAATGGGGCAAATAAGCGCACTGAATACGGCAAGTTTCCTGCTTATCCGACCGCCTTCATCGTTGCGGCCGACACGGTTCTTGAGTTCAAGAGCACCCAGAAGAATAGCGAGGAGATGATGAAGGCTCTCTCAACCGACAGTTCTATCCAAGCCAGCTATGGTCCGTGGGGTTTGAAATGTGGTGCCTCGGCCAAAACAAACAGCCAGGAGTCAGCGCAAAATATGGAAGTTAAGGATGGCAGCCTTCGAATTTGCTTCCAGGCGCCCCAGATCATTGGTTGGGTGTCAGAGATCCTGCCCGAGTTGCCGCGTGGTGGTGAGCTAGGTGGTTTGACTGCACCTCCCAATAAGGCTTTCAGAGCATAAGTCCGAGTTTCTGGGATGCCCAAGAGAACGCCGCACTGTCTTTGCATTTGGTCAACGTTATTCCTTGTTGGTTATTTCACGCTTTTCCTTTAGCTCCGAAGATCGTCAGCAAAGAAGTCTCATTCTAAATAATCTACAAGACAGCTTCCTTGATCTTAGCCCCGTCAATGTCAACAAATCTATATAGGATTTCTGAGTATGAGATGAAACTAGTCTAGCTACCAATTCTTTATACGGCTTCTATGAGATTGATCGGTACTAATCTATGGTATAACAGCGTGGCTTGCCTGACTCGGCGCCCTACCTGGACCTAGACACGGAGATGGACCTGGGCAAGCCAGCCCCGGACCCCGGATTTCTTGGCGTCAGCACAGACCACACCTAAATCATGGTGGGAGCTTGGCTGTAATGACGCGTTGAAGACGCGATTGTCTTTATTTAATTCTGCACGCGCATCGATGGAGAGATAGACATAATCATTAAATCTTGAACATTGGTGATTGGTCTCAAATAGAGTTCGTGTATACCCAAGAACGGCCAATCTCTAGTTGATTTACGGCCATGTAGCCCAAGATACAAAAAGTGGCTCGAAACAGGTGTGACTACCAGCAAGAGCAAGCGCGGTCTCTTATTATATGAGAGCGCGCTTGTTACGTTTCTCTAAACAGAGATTGCGTCTTAAGAACGATGGATACTTTTTCTCATTCTCCACTGCCTCCCTTCGTGCATAGCGGCCGCAGACCGACATGTTGACAAATGTACAATTGCAGTTTTGCGAGGTAAGGGTTGAAAGGCGTACCATGATTGGCCCGGAGTGTATGGCCCGGAGCGGCGCCTCTTTGAGTGTGTCAAGTGTGTCAGTCCTGCAACCCCGCGGCCTGAAGTGCGGTGATGAGATAATGACGGCTGCCGATGTAAAACAGCCCGTTTGAAGCTACGAGTCTCACAGTTGACGGTGTACCCAGGTCGGCTGGCAGGCTGGCAGGGTCTGTACCTGCAGGAAGCCACTGTCCAAGCTGCCAATTGAGAGCCTGTAGATTGTCATCATCATCGATGATGACGCTGCCGTTTGAATATGCGACTTCCTCATTCGACGCGGCGAAGAAAACGGAAAGAGCACCCTACACCTGGAGCTCGTCCTGCACCACGAGCTTCATAAGGAATGCAAACACTCACCTGCCTCATCAAGCGGGATAATCCATCACTGTGCCACTTTCATTCGCCCTGACGTGACCTGACACAACTTGAGAAGACACTCCGAGGCATGCTTTTGTCTTCATCGTCGTTGTCGCCCAAGCCGTCCATTCCCTTTGGTCTGCTCAGAATCACCACTTTCGCCGTCCGCCTCAACTTCACCTCAGCCGCCAAAATGTCTTCAGTCACAAAGCCTCACCAGTTCATGCAGACCTCGGGCAACACCGATGCCGTCTGGGTGCATAAGGACAAGTATGCCAACCGGCCCAAATTCCAGGCACTCAAGACGAGCATGAGAACGGATGTCTGCGTTATCGGCTCGGGAATTTCTGGCATCTCCGTCGCCTACGAGCTGGTCAAGCGCGGCAAGGACGTCGTCATACTCGAGGCCCGCGACGCCATTTCTGGCGAGACGGGCAGGACCAGTGGCCACCTGTCCAACGCACTCGACGATCATTACATCCACATCAAGGAGAAGCATGGCCTGGAGGGCGCAAAGGCGGCTGCTGAGAGCCACACCTGGGCGCTGAACCATGTCGGGGATGTTGCTAAGGAACTGGGTATCGAGTGCGAGTACCGACAGGTTCCTGGATACGAAATCTCCCAGTTCCCACGAGGCGACGAGAAGCACGCGGATGATGTCAGCGAAATCAAGGAGGAAGCGCAACTAGCCAATGAGCTTGGCCTTGATGTCGAGTATCGCGATGGGCTGACAATCAAAGGCTGGGACGGGAAGATCGATCAGCGTGACGGAGCCATCTTCCATCACCAAGCAGCCTTCCATCCCACGCTGTACCTCGTCGGTATCCTTGGATGGCTTCAACAGCAGCCCAACTTTCATTGTCACACTCAGACCCGAGTGATGTCTCGCGAGGAGAAAGGAACCGAGATCCTGGGCCTCGGCCAGAAACATGTCCAAGTCGAGACCGAGGAGGGACACGTCGTTGATTGCGATTACGCCGTTGATGCGGCATGCATTCCGCTGCAGAAGCTCAGTCTGATCACCGAGATGGAGTACATGCGAACGTACGCCATTGCAATTCGGGTGCCTAAAGGCTCAGTCGAGGACTGCTTCATCTATGATTCTGCCGAGGCATATAAGTACGCTCGCCTAACGGCGTGCGACGACAAAGATGACTACATGATCGTGGGCGGCTGCGATCATAAGGTTGGCCAGGAAAGCCCAGCGGGACGTTTCGAAGAACTGGAGGCGTGGGTTCGAGAGCGCTTCACCCAGGCTGGATCAGCGGACTACAAGTGGAGCGGCCAGGTCAACGAGCCGGTTGACTACGTGGGCTTCATCGGCAAGAATCAAGGCAACGATCGTATCTACGTCGTCACCGGCGATTCGGGCAACGGGTTGACTCACGGTGTCATTGCGGGACGCCTGATTGCCGACGAGATCGAGGGCATCGAAAACCCTTGGGCGAAGCTCTACAACCCGAGCCGAGTCGCTTCCATCGCCAAGTCGGCCATATCTATGATCCAGCACGACCTACAGGTCAATACGCAGTACAAGCGCTTCCTCGAATCTGATCTCACGGACATTGAGGATTTGGTTCCTGGCACAGGAGGCGTGCTGAACCCGACGCTTTCCAAGCCGATTGCTGTCTACAAGGATGAAAACGGAGAGGTGACAAAGATGACTGCCTTGTGTCCGCATCTGAAGGGTGTGGTCTGTTGGAATCCTGCTGAGAAGTCGTTTGACTGCCCTGTCCATGGCAGTAGATTCTCTGCCAAGGGCGTATGTGTTATGGGTCCGGCAAAGGCAAATTTGAGTGCTGTAGAGTGATGGCCCAGGGCTGTAAAAAGAGCTGGTGCTTCACTGCTCCAATAAGACAGTTTCGTCTCACCCCCAGAGATGATCATTTGATTAGTGCTCCCAAGAAAGTCTGAAACAAGTAGCTGTGCCGCTTTTAGCGCATCACACCTGTAAATGAATGTGGTTTGCCGACAGCTGACGCCGCACCAATCAGTTCCATTAACTTCGTTTAGACATGCATTCTTGAGCCTCAAACCGGCAATATTTCGGAGACATGGACACTCTAGAATTGGTCGAGAAGATTCGCCAGGGCCTTCTTTGTCCAAACTGCCTCTCTTTAATCAATCCCGATGTAGGGCGGTCTAGGATTGATTCCGCCCCATGCAGCGAGTTTCCGCCTGACGACTTCACCGCCTGGCCGGATTCGCAAGTGTCTATCCAGGCGTTGCGTGAGTCAGCGCTCAATAAATGCCAAACCTGTGTCCAGTTGAATACTTTTATCAATAAATACAATGATAAAGACCAGCTAGTTGTCGAACGGGCGAGTGTACAATGGGGGAATATTGCATCGGGCACTTGGTTCATCAACCGTCCATTCTCGCCATTTACGCATGGAGAGATATATGAAATATTTTCTGAAGATGAACAGTCAGGTAATTTCATAGCTTCTCAGCTACTGTAACACCGACCAAGCTAACATTGCTCCAGACCATCCAATCGCAAAAATTGCCAGACGTCCGTCAGGAGATACGTCTTCCATTGCCGCACTAAACCATATCAAGTCTTGGATATCAGATTGCGTTGGTGCTCACAAGGCATGTCCCGGCTCGGATACAACGCCACCATTGCCGACGCGCGTTATACAGATTGACGGAAACCACACCAATCCTCATGTCAGGCTCATCGAGACGTCTGGTTTACAGGGCATATATGCTTGCCTAAGTCACTGCTGGGGCGGCTCTCGGGCAGAGTGTATTACGTACAAGGCGACATTAGAAGCGAACAAAGCCGGCATTGCCTGGGATAAGGTCCCAAAGACCTTCCAAGAAGCCATCCGCGTTGCCAGTTTCCTTGGGATATCGTACCTTTGGATCGACTCGTCGTGTATCATCCAGGATGATGTTGAAGACTGGATGATTGAAGCAGCGCAAATGTCTCGTATCTATCAAAATGCATTCATAACTATTGCTGCTACTGCTGCACGGAATAGCTATGCTGGTCTCTTCCGCCATACTCCAGATGAGTTTATTGCAAGCAGCGTATCAAGCGCCACCGACGGTATTCAGATATTTGTCAGGAAGGCTTTACCGCACCCTCGTTGGGACTCGACCGTTGAACAAGAGCAATATCCGCTGCTTGATCGAGCATGGGTCTATCAGGAACGACTGCTTTCGCCTCGAGTAATACACTTTACCGAGACGGAGTTGGTCTGGGAATGCCGAGAGTCCGAGAGATGCGAATGTCAAGTGGGAAATGCCCCGTCGAATGATTTGGCAGGAGACCTGGATCTAACTCACGTCAAGATGTCATGGCAGGACCCGAAGATGTGGTCAAACATTGTCATGCACTATTCACATCTCTCACTAACTTTCGGCAAAGACAAACTTCCAGCTTTGGCTGGAGCGGCCCGAGAGGTTGCGAATCAACAGGGCAGTAAACTTGGCACCTACCTCGCTGGATGCTGGGAGCACACCCTCTTAATAGACCTGTCTTGGGCAATTGCAACGTTTGACGCACCCGGCCGATCGGACCCATGGAGAGCGCCAACATGGTCTTGGATGTCGGTGGACTGTGCGATTCACCCTGGGATGTTTCCCTGCACAGAAATAACAATTATTGAGGCGAGCTGTGAGCCGTCTGGTCGTGATCCATATGGACAAATTTCCTCGGGGCACATAGTCCTAAGAGGCTGTTTATTACAGACACAGCTCCTGTACCCGAGTTCTGAGTCAGAGGCATATAGATGTTTCCCCTTTGAAATACACGATGACGAGTTACGGCTTTTGAAGAATAAGCGGATAGGGCTATTTCCGGACTACGATATTACACAACCCGGACGCTGGCAGATTCAACATCAGGCCATGCTCTCTGTTCTCAAGCTCGGCCATGTTGTGAAAGGCACTCACAGATGCCTCGTCTTGAGACGCTTAGACACCGTAGAAGAAACCTATGAGCGGGTGGGCTATGCAAATCTAGGTGTACGAGAAGTCAGCGACTGGTACGAGGGAGTTCAACCAAGCACCCTACGGATGGTCTAGCTTGTGCTTCTGGTTACTGCATATTGATGTGAACGGATTTTTGAGCGTGTGACAGTAATACGTAAATTGAGAAATTGAAAATGATGTAATTTCTAGATACTATATCTATACGTTCACAAGTCATAACAAAGCCAACTTGTCATTATTGTTACCCGCGTCGCATCATATTCCCGCCTAATGCAACGTCTCCTCATGCTACGTGGGTTTACTATAATCAGCGTTCCATCATGTTTCATAAAATCATCGCTCATCTAAGAGCTCTCACTCAGCTTCTTTGCCACTCCCTCTGCAGCCAAAGAGCCAAGGGCTTTCAACGTCCCGCTTCCCATAATTTCAAGCGTGCTAATATCAAGGCCAAACGTCTGCTTCCACCATCTGCGCAGTTCTATAGCCATCAGGGAGTCCATGCCTATTTGTGCCAGTGACAGACTAGTGTCCATATCCGCTTCGTCTTTCATCATAAAGGCGAAGATCTTCCGCCCGATCTCCACCGCTAGATACTCGATGCTGTCTTCCTGTGTCAGGACGCTGGGATCGTCAGCAGCGCTGGTGAGGAATGTCTTCAGCGCGTTTGAGTCGGAGGATGACGTAGCGGAATTGTCGCGGACATTGTGATACGTTCCCATGCGGCGGTCTCTTCGCCAACTGGTTGGGCACTTGGGGTCATCAGGGTGGACCTCGGAGCGGAGTGCCATTATAATTTGTCCTTCTGACCTGAATGGAGCGGTATCCTTGTCAGCAGAAACACCACTCCCGCTGTTGGTGGATGGTAGCTGGTTCAGCAGAGCCACTTCGAAATAGTCAAGCGTCTCTCGCTCAGCCAGGAAGTACAGCCCCTGTGCCTTGAGCTTCTTCTTGGCTGTGGGGTTCTCCGCGACGAAACCGACATCATCAACGGGCCCGATGTTGATCACACCTGCAGGGAGCCCCTGTGAGTGCCGATACTGAGTAAATGCCTCGAGGAAACAGTTGGCGGCTGCGTAATTTCCCTGTCCGACTTGGTCGTAGCAAGTGACAATTGATGACGTTGAGACGAAGAAGTCCAGATCTTGGCTTCTCCCCAAAAGCACGTTATGAAGATTCCAGGCGCCGTTGACCTTGGGTGAGACAGTGGCGGACCAATCCTCGTAGGTCAGATCGGTAACTTGGCCATCGCGAAGCACCATGGCCAGATGGAACACGCCTTTGATTGGGTTTGGTGCTGCGTTCACCGCGGCCTCGACGTCAGAAAGCACATCGGCCTTGCCCTGCACAGCGTGAATGGCACAGCCCATGCTCTCCAATTCAGTGAAGAAAGTTTGGTCTTCTTCCGTCTTGCCCGCACTTCGGGAGAGGAAGATCAGATCTCGTGCTCCGCGCTCAACCATCCAAAGTGCTATAGACTTCCCTAAGCCACCTAGGCCACCCGTTAAGATATATGAGGCATCCGCCTTGAATGTTGTCTCACTCGAGCTTGAAATACTTGGAATAGCTGTCGGGTCGTCCGGGAATCTGACGACGGCTTTGCCAATATGGTCACCCTTCTGCAAGTGACGGAATGACTGTTCGATGTCTGCCGCGTCGAAGACAGTCATGGTATTGATAGGCTGGATCTTGCCTTCGTGGAAAAGCCGGAGCACCTTCTCCAGGAGCTTGCCAGCATATGCCGGTCTTTTCTGCATTGTGTGGGCGAGGTCCACGCAACAGTATGATCGATTAAGCAAGAATGGCTCGAGATCCAGTTGTCCAAAGCCAACGAGATCACGTTTGCCAAGTTCGACCATCTTACCAAACTCAGCGACGCACTTCCAAGATGCGTGGAGAAGCTTTCCCGACAACGAGTTGAGCACTATGTCAACGCCTTGGCCATTAGTTTCCCGCAAGACGTCGGCGACAAATGAATCATCTCGTGAGTTGAAGATGCGGTTTCGCGGCAGTCCGAAATATTCCATAGCGTATTTGACCTTGGGTTCACTGCCGACAGTGACGTAAATCTCGGCGCCAACCATTTTGCACAACTCAATGGCGGCGTGTCCGATGCCGCCACAGGCTGAGTGAATCAGTACAGACTGCCCAGCTTCAAGCTGGCCAACGTTGATAAGAGCTTGTAAGGAGGTGGTATATACAGATGGCATTGTAGCAGCTGCCTCGAAGGATAGTCCATCTGGGAGTTTCGCGCACAAGGTCGATTGTACTACTGCGCGGGTAGAGAAGCAGCCATCTAGGGCGACACCAACCACTCGGTCGCCGGGTACTACATGGGTGACCCTTGATCCAACACGTCGAACAACTCCAGAAACTTCCAAGCCCAGTGGTCTTGTGTTCGGGCCGCTGAAAGTGAGAACACCCATTGCGACCATGATGTCTCGAAAATTGAGACCGACAGCCTTGGACTCGATCTCAACATCCTCCTCAGCAAGCGGTTTGGAGTCCATCTCGACCCATCGCAATGTTTCAAGAAGACCGGGTTTTCCAATCTCTAGCGACTTAGATGAACCAGAAATAGATTTGCTCTTGTCACATACTTCGTCCTCGAGCTTGAACGGCTGGTAGCGGGGAATCTTTATCACCCCCTTGTCTACGGCAAACTCTCGATCGGGCCGCAGAGCTTGGTTGTCGTCCGTCTCGTAGATCTTCTGCAAGACTTTGAGCACAAGATCTGTATAATTTGGCTCATCAGGGGAAATTTCCAGGCTATAAAATGGAACTCCCAACTCGGCTTGTACTGCCCGCAGTGCGCCAAGAGTTTGTCCCCAGCGGGGATCTACCGGATTGATCTGCGATGGAGGCATGAGCCATAGAAGTTTTTGATCTGTGTGCCCCCGGCACAAAGTCTGGAATGCTTCGAACTTTTCTTTACTGATATCAGCAAAGAAATAGCTCTCCAGATCAAGCGTAGCGAGGACCGGTCTGTCAGTTGGGGGTAAATCACCGAACTTGGTGATGGAGACGTCGATGCCTTGAGCCTGGAGGTCTGCTATGACAGACTTGGTTGTCTCTTGGTTGGGTGCCTCAGATAGCACAGTAAGAGAGGATACAATAAGCCTGGTCTCTTGAAGTGCCGGCTGAGATACGATAGCAGCACAGAACTGGAAGGGATCCTCGCCGTCCAGCACCGCAGTATCGACACCAGTAAAGCCCGAACCCTTAAGCTCTTTGTCCCAACGATCGACAGATACATATGGTTCCCATTTACGGTCATCAGCCTCTCCCATCCACCAGCCGGAAAAGTTGCCGAAAACGAAGCCGGGTGCTCTTGCCACAGCACAGACCTCCGTAAGGACAAAGTGCCCACCAGGTCTCAGCAATGGCTGCAGATTGCTCAATGTCTTGTGCAGGTTAGGAGTAGCATGGATGACATTTGGCGCAAGAATTAGGTCGTAGGTGCCAGCCTCATAGCCTTGCTCAAATGGGCTCTGCGAGACGTCGAGAACCTTGTACTCCATGTTCGGCGCGTATGAGAATCGCTCGGTCGCTGCTGGGAAGAAACCCGCTGAGATATCCGTAAACGTGTACAAGGAGTATGGCGGGTTACTGGAGCTGTCACCATCAATCATGCCGCGCAGGATCATTTCCGTTGTGCCGCCTGTGCCGGCACCGACCTCTAGGATGCGCATCGTAGGTTTTGAAATAGCCAGCATCTTGACGAAGCGTGAGAATCCAAAGCTGACAGCATCATAGATACGTGCCAGCACGTTATCTTTAAGGAGGACTTCGAGAGCATCTTGATTGCCGGTGAGGAGATCTTCAACATTCTCCCAGATACGCAATGTGCCCTCGATTACACCACCAAGCGATGTGTCCTCGGACAGAAGATTGTCAGATCTCTCCTTGATGGCAGCAACCCGCTCCTCGTGGCTTAAGTTGGTAAATTTGGTAGGATCTTCGACAGTTCGTGGGTACGTCCCATCCAACGCCCTGCTCTTCTCCCGGATCAACCAGTCTCGGAATACTTCATAGTGTGGCTGGCTAGGTGTGAGCCCATGCACCCGTTCAGCTGAGTCTAGGATACAGAGCAGGACGATTTCTTCCAGAACTTGCTTCGTTTCATTTTTTATCTGTGGTGGATCGAACAGTGTCTTCATGTCCATGAAGTCGAAGTCGGGATACCATGCCAATCGCGCAGCAGCGTGCTTGTCGTCCACATCAGTGGCATTGTCATCCTCGAGCGGCGTGAGTCGAGCACCCCTTAATCGCATCGTCATCTCGCCATTAGCGAAGCAGTCGATACCAACGTCTTTGCCATCTGCCACGCTCCAAGCTTCGGCAGTCATGATCTCAGCAGATCCATATACATCAATCTCCTCGATCAACGTTGGTACGACAAGCTGGGTGAGCTTGCGGCTGATTCCTTGCGCTTGAGCCGCGATGAACAATTGAAAACAAGAGTCCATCGTTGCAGGGTGGAAAAGGAATGGCTTCTGTACCAAGCCGGCAATTTGTGCTAGTGCGCGCTCCTCAGTTGTTGAAGCCTCAAGAGAGGTGATGCCCTGAAACTCGTTACCGTAAACGAGTCCCATGCGAGCAAGCGCATAATACAGTCTTTTGGATGTGACTTTTCGAGGCAAAGAGGGGAATTCCCGATGAATCTCTGGCTTCGCAGCAAGCGGCTTGACTCTTCCTTCGCAATGCTTGATCCAAGCTGAACCGGTATACGAGCAGATGCTAAAGTCCCAGTACTCTGAGTCTTGCGAATCAGTCAACTTGCGTCGGCGAAGCGTGGTAAGGACTTCTACGGGTTTGTTCTCGTTAAGAACCAGGGCAGTAGAAGCAACAACGTGTCTGACACTGTATCCACACTCCACTCCGGAGATTTGTCTGATCGCTTCACCAGCCATGCTGACGTATCCAGCAAATGGGAAGACAATATCGTCTCGTACTTTGTGGCCATAGAGCCAAGGTTCATCTTCAAGATCCAGCAGATTTCGCCATGCAGGTTCCAATGCGCTAGTTTCGGGGATCCTTTCTCCAAGAAGAGCATGGTGACCGTATTGACGGAACCGCCAGTCCTTAGCAATGCGACTCTCCCACCAATACTTGGCCGAGCGATCCCACGGGTATGCAGGCAAGTCTGTCAATACCTTCCCCTTTTGGGTTATCGTGGTAAAATCAATGTTAATGCCCTGCTGCCACAGTTGACCGAATGAAGCAAGTAAGCTCTCCTTGCAATCCTTGCCCCTGATCATGCTAGGAGCATAGGTGCAGCCAGTTTTAGATTCAGCGCAAATTTGTCGCAAAGGTCCAGCCATCTGCGAGTGAGGACCGATCTCGAGGAATATCGCTTGAGGAATAGCTTTGACGAGAGCCGTGACTGCTGGGCAAAACCTTACGGGAGACGTCAAATTCTCGACCCAATACGATGGTTCAAGCGCATCTTCTACCAAAGAGGTTGTCACTGTAGAGAACATAGACACCTTTGGCAGCTGTGTAACCTTGCCGTAGCCGCCTGTTTCGGCTCTAATCAGGCTCAAATACTCGTCCCCGATCGAAGTCATATGGTGTGAATGATAGGCCATATCAACTTGCAGTTTCCTTGCCAGGACATCCGGATTCTCCTTCTTAATTACCTCAATAACTTCCTCCACCTTTTCAAGATCGCCAGATATTGTTGAAGAGTGAGGGCTATTTTCGGCGGCCACGACCACTCCATCGACGAGATAGGGCCGGACCGCATTGGCTCCAAGTCCTATGGCTGCCATGCCTCCCTTGAGCTGTTGTTGTTTGGTGACATATCCTCTGTAGTAAGATATGATAATAGCTTCGCGGATCGATAAAGCACCAGCTGCATACGCAGCCGCTATCTCTCCACTCGAGTGGCCAACGACTGCATCAGGGGTAATGCCTCGGCGCCTGAACGCATTGACCAGCCCGATCTGGATGGCAGTACATAGAGGTTGTGAGAGCTCTGCACGATAGACATTGCTGGTAGCTTTTGGTTGAAGAAGCTCCTCTTCGATAGTCCAGGTTGGCGGGATCTTCACATTCCTGAGGATTGTATCCATGGTCCGGATATCGCTGCGGAAGTGCTTATCGCTTTCAAAGAGCTCTTTGCCCATCTGTGGCCACTGCGCTCCCTGACCGCTGAACACCATGGCCAGCGGAGGTGCTTGCAGTGCAGACTTCACAGCTGGAGCAGGCTCAGGGTTCTTTCCATGACCAACAATTGCGAACGAGCGCTGTGAAAGGTGTTCTCGTCTCTGTGAGAGAGTGTACGCCATGTCCGAGAGACGCTCAGGGTAGCGAGTATAGTAATCCACGTATGTGTCAGTGTATTGCTTCACGGCTTCTTGAGAGTTCGCGGAGAATACTAGCAGTTCAGGCTCGGGAGTTTGGGTTGAATAAACCACGGCTGGCTGAGGCTCTGGGAGGAAAGCATCCAAAGACTCAACTATGACATGAGCATTGGTGCCACCAATGCCGAAGGAGTTGATGCTCACGCGCTTTGCACGATCGACGGGCCAAGGTGTTGGCTTGACTGGCACGGCTAGCTTTCCTTCGGTGAAGCGGATCTTGGGATTTGGCTTGGAAAATTTGATGTTTGGTGGGATGATTTCATGCTCGATAGCTAGGACCGATTTGATGAGACCAGTCAAGCCTGATGCTCCCTCGGAGTGACCAGCATTTGGCTTCGAAGAGCCAATGTATATGCCCTTCTCTCCAAAAAGATTTGCCACAGCATGTGTTTCCAGTGGATCACCGGTAGGCGTGCCGGTTCCATGGCATTCAATGAAGGCGGTTTGTGAAGGCTCGATGTGTGCATCCTCGTACACCTTTCTCATCAGTGCCTCCTGGGCTGCAGAACTAGGTGTCAAAAGTCCCTGACTCTTGCCATCACTGTTTGTGCCAGTGTTGCGAATTACGGCCCGGATTGGGTTGCCATCTCGGATGGCATCAGCCAAAGGCTTAAGATAGACTGCATTGATGCCCTCGGCGCGAGCGAACCCGTTCGCATCAGCGTCAAAGGTCTTGCATGATCCATCTGGCGACAGAATGCCCTCAGAGGTCATGACCGAGAATATTGTTGGACCCATGATGAGACTAGTTCCAGCAACTAGTGCTGATGTGCAGTCTCCATTCTGGAGCGCTCTGCACGCCTCATGAAGTCCGACGAGAGAAGCCGAGCATCCGGTCTTGATAACCATGCTGCAGGTTGTCAGCTTGTTGACACTGAATACAACAATAGCGTGGGGGAATGCCAACTCACCTGGGACCCTTGAAGTCATACTCATATGACAACCTATTAGCGATCATCAAGTCGCCGCTGAAATTGTAGCCTCCGGTAAATTGATTTTCCTTTGATTGCATCATGAGCCAATCCTCACCGAAGGTGCCAACATAGCAGCCTATCAGTTTTCCGCGGTAGTCAACTTCACCAGCACTCTCTAGACACTCTCGTGCCACCTCGAGCATCTGGCGTTGTTGTGGGTCAGTCTTCTCGACTTCCTGCTTACTCATGCTAAAGAATGAGGTATCGAGGCAAGCCAGGTCTTCTTCAAGGAAATAGCCATAGTGGGTTTTGATAGAACTCTTCTTGCCAAGCTTGTCGTCAAAGGCATCAATATTGAATCTTGACTCAGGAATGGGACCACGTAAGTCTTTGCCATTGTACAAAACTTCCCAAAAGGCTTCAGGAGTTCGCACACCGCCAGGGAGACGTAGAGCCATGCCACAGATGGCGATAGGGGTCGGAGGCGCTCTGGTTGACGCTTCTGGGCCGTTTTGTGCGAAATCTTGATGTGAATGGCGTGCAGGACTTTGTGTCGTACCGTGATCAATGAAGAGACCACCAGCGGTCCCGTCATGATGGTGGTGCTCTGGTTGGTCGTCCGCGGAATACTGTGACGGAGGTGTGGTCATGCCTTCAGAAGTCGGGCTCTCCTCACTGCCATGGAGTGATGGCGAAAGAGGTCCATAATCACCCGTCACAGGGCTGGAAAATTCTTGTGGGTATTCATTGGACTTTCTGGCAGCTTCAGAAGTGAATTCTGCTGTCTCATCTATTTGATTGACCTCGCCATCTGATGTTGGTTCGATGACGTGTGAAGGTTGTCCGCCTTCTGTCAAAGCTTCATTACCATTCACAAAATCTTCAGTCTCCACGATTGCTTGTGGTTCATCTGCAATTTCTTCGGCATAGTGAAGGAGAAAGCCCCCCTCTAGGGAGGCAATACTGTTTCCAGTATGTGATGGTTTACTGTCCATGTTGGATGTTGAATACAACAAAGGTTGATTTCGTTGAAAACTCAAGAGAGATCTGGGAATCCTGACTTTGTATGCCTGAGAGTCGCTGAGGGTCCCCCCATATACCTCGGTGGCCAAGGTAAGTCTCCTGATACCGGGGAGCTTATCCTGCCTCCGTTAAGGTGTGGGGTGTCGTCCTATGGAACTTGTGTCTGATAACAAAAAAGACCAATCATTCAGATGCCATGCCAGGATGGAGAAGGTCTAGGGCTGATCTATCGTTCGTTACCAAGACGAAAAGTGCTATGCCAGCACAGAGGTATATGTGGCTAAGTACTTCAGAAGGAGTAGATACCAGCTACTTGAGCGGTAAAGCCTGATCTCGATGACAAGGAACCAATGAATGGGGAATTTGAGACATGCATCTTCGTTGCTAGACGCAGGGTCGTGGTCTTCTCACAAACTAAGGATAGATGGGGCCTAAACTGTGATAGTTAAGCTATTGTCTTATCGACTTGCGGAGCCGGCTCAAAGAACCAACGGCGTGGGGAACTTGAGCAAGCCAAATGCTATGTCGTAAAGATCCTGCACAGATAACAACTAGGCAGGAGATACATGAGAAGCAGGTACTTGAGATTGACCTGGGATCCAAAAGCTGCAGTAATGACATCCAGGACCCTTCGACACATGCGTCAAGCAGAACGCCTGAAGACTCCACAGAGTACTCAGAAACATGTTGCAATGACACGCGAATAGGAGGTAGGGGAGGGGGTATGGTTGGTTCCAGGAGGGCAAGCTTGCAGAAATGAACTCCCTCCAACTGCGGCGATTGACGGAGCGAGCTTCCAACCCGAGACGCGTACCGGCTGCTTGAAGAGATGACCATATGTTACATAACGGCGACTTTGTAATTTAGGACCCGCTAAGACCAGTGGTATGACCGGTAGACCGCGGTAGTGTACCAGTAGAGCAATTAGATACGGGTTCGCCGTTTAGTTGCGGGTCGGACCTTGACTGAAGCGGATTAGAACGGCGTTCTAGTAGCTGAGGCAGAACTGGTTCCAGAAGGACTAATAATTCGATCATCCCCCTAAACGCAGAACTTGTGGCGCCTTCTAGCTCTCACACACATGTGCGTAATACGGTCTTCGTTGGCTGCTGTCTCAGCTCACGGACCCGAACCCAGATTTCGCCTCTTGGATAGCCTGGGTCCGTCACTTGGTTGTTCAAAGCGTTTCGTCATACCTTGGGAAAGGGAGTGATCCACCACATACCCGCTGCCCGCTGCCTCGGGACGGGTGTCGGTGACGGGCGTTCTCTGGCCCTGGCCCTGACCCTGAGCAGAGGCACAGGTGAGTAACTGCCCCAATTAGACATTTTCCATATGAATGTATCATCGTTGCGGCGAGACTGCAGTATTCGTGCAGCCGTTGGCGCGGATATCCGCTCTGATTGGTGCCTGACTCTGCACGGCAACTTCAGAGAAGAGGCAGGTAGTTCGGTACGGCTTGTATATGGATACCCAGGGGGGTTCATCCGATCCTCGAGGTGCTTCTATTGCCATGTGCAGATGCTGGTAAGTGGCGCTAAATGCCACGTAGTCCTCCTCCTGGCTTAGCACGGTCAATTGGTGTTGGAGAAAATGACAAGATGTCGCCAACTTTGCCATTTACTTCACAAGGTCCACAAGATTGGGGAGGAATGATACCATCCCAACGCAGTGAGGGGCAGGAGGCACAAGACTAACTGGATTGTTCCGTCTCTTCCTTCAGCAGCCCCCGAACACCTTCAGTGGTGACACGTACGAGCCTGGAGAAGGCCCTAAGAAGCGGCCTGCATATGAGGTGCTGCAACCAAGTCCTTGGTGGAGTGGGACTGATCGGAGTGTGTATGAATGGCTGCATGCCAGGGCCATTGGGCCGGGTAAAAGTGTGGCAGCCCACCACACCAGATCGCTGCGCTGAGAACCTTTGCGATATCGCATTCCCGAGGGTGCGGGCTCTTCTGTCAGAGGCCCAACACCACCACAGGCTGACTGCTGTGCGACAGTGTGACCGTCAGCTCATGCCCTCATGCCCCATAGCGGCGGCAATGTAGGTGCGAGTTTGCAGAGACCAATTGCCTGAAATCGAATCACGGGCGCCATCACATCCGATACATGCGCCGTTGGGAAGCAAGTCGCCGGCTCCTAAGCAGAGCCGCCAAAGTTAAAAGCAACCGTTGTCCCCAGTTCGATGAGACGCTGGAAGGATCAGAGGGTAAGCAAGGGCTGTGTCTCTTGTCGCTTCTCCACGCCTCTTCATCAGTCGTATATGCCTACTCAAAGTCCCCCGATCTCGAAAAGAAAGCTACGGCCCGAAATCGCCCAGTAGTTGGCCCGGAGGCAAGGAATATGCACGGTTACCTCAGGCTGTGGGCTCGAATATCGGTGAGAGAGGCCCGGACTCTCAATCGAGATAACCGAACACCCCCTCATTCATTCCATTCCATGCTAGCTCTAGCAAAAAGCCAGTGAATTTGCAGCACGCGGGTACGCAGTAAGAACGCCATAATGGTTGTTAGTCTAGCGACCGGCCGCAAAACTACACCTCCGCCGGGGTAAT